TTCGCCCAAGTATTGTAGCCCTAAGTGACCTCAAAAACGTTGCGCCACACCAAACAGGGAGGCAAGAATCACTATAGACAATGAAGTTTGGGATCTGAATAAACATCGGAATTCTTTAGCGACTTTACTGTAAGTTGGAAAACGATAGTGTTGGTGTGGCCATTGGACGGCCGCCTCGTTATAGGTGTCACAGTGAGCTCGACAATGCATTACCTCAGAGATTGGCGAACGGCGACAACAACAACGTCAGATAAAGTCACAGAATGCATGATGATTGCTTTGTGGATTTGTAAACGATCTAGAACCCGGGCAAGCGACGGGCACAACTACAAGTATGTTCAATCATCATGGCTAGTTGGACGACAGCAATTGGTTCCAAAAGAATACCTCATCACCGCGTTTATCGATTGCAACAATACAATCGTCGTCCATGATGCTGGAACCATAGTGCATTAATCAGGCTTGAATATTGACAAGCATCCGCATGAAAATATCATCACCACATCCACCATCTTGACGGCCCTATTATTCGTTGGATACCACCTCGATGCTCTCAAATCGCCTCAAGGAAGTTGACCGAATTGCATAATCACACGCTCCAAGAAGTTGCGTGCTGCAGTGCGAACCAGTCTCTATTCGTGTCAGATTTGTTGCCCTGCTTCTGGGGTCCCTATTTGGGAATTGCTGCCAGGGAAGTAAAATGAAGTGTCTCTGAGCTCTCCCCATTCGAACAAGATCTCTTCCAGTCCTGAAGCGATCATCCCACTGCACCGGGACTAATAGACTTTGATACAAGAAAATACTTCTGCCAAATACTTCAGTCTTGAAATGCTGTAGACTTCGACGACTGTTGAACATAGTACGTCTCCAGAAGCTGAAGGACCTGGATGCGACCAAGCAGATGCTAGGCACCCGTAATGAACTCCTCCACGAAGAGTATTCTCCGCTTCAAACTTTCTTGGTGGTTTTGCATTGAATAACCCCACCATTGACCGACATTGATGCTGTTGACGGCATTCCCGACCCATGCGAGTATTGAGTATTGAACAATCAATTCACTCGCTCATTTCGAGGGTGAATTGACGATACGAAAGTCCATTGGCGCTTGTGATTGTTATCGTGAGAAAAGAACGCGGAAGCGACTGTTGGTTTTCGTAGAGCCGGTCACAAACGCAGGCACAACAACTTCATCACCTCTTGTCTTGCCCTGAACATCGTCGGCACCGTGATGAATGAGAATTGCGTCCCAAACCAAGCCTACCATAGGTCACTCCACAGCGAAGGAGGTGCATGTGGGGCTTGATCAATCGAGACTGGACGAAAAGCGTGCCGTTGCGAGATCCGGAGAACCAGGGGAGATTTCACCAATTGAATGGTTTACCAGGCTGCTTGCTCATACAGGCATGTCAGCCACAATCAACATCTCCCTTTCACGTCAAACAATGTTTCGAAGCTAAACAGCATTTCCGTTCTATTCCGACCTCATGGCCAGCCCGGACTAGAGGGGTACTTAGAGCCTAGTCCCAGTATCGTATCGGCACAAACATCAAGATTCCGTTGTCGAATAATTATCCAACTTCTTGTTCATACGCATTCTGAAATTACCGCAGTCTCGCGACCTCCAATCCCCTCCCATTGACAGAGAGACCAGCCCAGATTGGAGTACGTCGTAGATGATGCTGTCCCAGGAAGATCAACTTGGCCACCGGACAGGCCTTGACAGGGCAACAACAACCCTCAGGGGTAACATAATCCATGTCCCGTTCTCCCTGAACATGGCCGTCTTGGAGGGCAAGTACTGCAAACCCAGCATCTCGACGCTGTGCTGTTTTTGGATGTGTTGAAGCCAGGATGTTGGAACCAACATTGAGTTGCTGCTGACTCCTCACAAAAACTCATGTTTTCGCGGATCACAAACTTTACTTGACAAGTTACCTCTACACGGCGGAAAAGTCACGCCGGATTTGATTGAAATAAGTTTTGCAATAATAATTTCCGATTTTGTCAATAATATGTCTCTCATTAATGGTTTATTGTTTTCCAGATACCGAGAAGTCCACTTTATAGTTATCGAAGCTACAAGCAGAAACAACAATGAAGATCCAGTTCAAGGAAAGAAGAGACAATCATAATCGTCTTTCTTATCTGTAGGAATAGGGTTCTGGCGACTAGTTCTGCACAAAAACACACAGACTGTCGCTCTTCTCACTTGTTATCTTTCCAAGTTTTCATAGCTCGCAACAGCTGGAGCTGATATCGGTGTCTCCATACTCACCAATATTGAACAGCGGATAGTTTGCGATTGTTCAATCTCCTCTGCCGGAGCAGCTTCCAGGTTGACTATCTACAGTATCAATTGGCGCGACCCGTTCGAATGGTACCGCGGGGTACACCAATCCCAATGCCCATCTAATCCAAAGCCAAAATGTCCATTTCGGGTCAACTGAAGGAGATTCAATTTCTCTTCTGAGATACACATCCCATGCCAGCCTACTTCAACTCATCAGGTCGAGATTTTTAACCCCATTAGCTGTAGAAGCCGTGATTTTTAGAACCCTCTTCCTTGAGTACGGCTCCGAGGATAGATTCCGTCAGAAACACAACTGGTATGCCGACAAGCAGCTCCCTGATGCAACTCCCACGTCGTCTCCCTTGTCACTTTGCCGGCAGGGAGGCAGCAGCCCAATGACAGTCCTTGTGCGAAGGTCAATGCCATTGGGCTGATCAGGGACAACCTCAGAAGGTACGGGCAGGGCATGCTTGAGTATCAAATGGGTATGGCGACCTTTTGCCATGTCTTTGACCACGCTGCGTTAACCTTGTATGTGAACGGCTAATATTTGGGGACTGACTTGATCGGGACTAGAGTCGTTAGAGCACCGGCAGCACCTAGGCCTACCCCGAGACTAGCTTGACGGGGGCTGACAAGTGTTGGACTCGCTGGGACATGGTTCTTTCTGCACTACTGAAGCCTGCTACCGGTAGACGCAGACGATGGCCCTGATTTGAATCATGCACTCTGTAGCTGTAGGCCGGAGGGAGAAGTGACTGAAGCTAGGCACTTGTTCTGCGACAGGAGTAGTCCCCTTTTTGGGGTGATGCTGCACTTTGCGAACTGCATCTGCACCTTACACCAGCTGCGACAGGGTGTAGAAAAATAACTTCTCAACCCAGTCATGCGTGAGTAGTCTCCGGTCCTCTCCTCGCTTAACTCACGATGCGTCGAGGAGTGGATTGAAGAGAGCGAGCTAGACGGCCTTGGAGCTACCGCAGATGATGCACCACAGAGATGCTGGCTGCTACTCCAGAAACATCGAAAGCCGTACATTTTGTACCTGACAGATGACGCTCTCACTAAACCCTCTCCATGCTGCTGCTCCGACCTCGAACCTCACCTAATCAGCTCCCCTACTCAGGCCTTTTGCCTCCCCCTGTCACTATTTCACTCCCTCCCTCTTCAGTGGGACTACGATCTCCACCCACTTGACATGTACAAAAACGGTTGTCGTCCTCAGACACGGTCTCCACATCCACAGAAGCACGCCTGCAAATTCTGAGAGACTGCTCACATATAGGCCCCGTCTGCAAATTGCCCAGCCGAGGATCCTCTCCAGTCCTCCAGTCCCAACTCTCACGGATACAGTACTTTACTCCGTATCTCGTCTGCGCTCGAGACTTCATAAGTGCTTGTCTTTCCATTCTTCAATTCGCCCTCTTGCCCTGAGTCAGGAATACTCTCCCATTCTTCGTCCACAGCTGCTCAGCACCAGCGCCTTGATCGATAGCTCATCGGCATTTTTGACTCGACTCGACATCACCATCCTGTCTTAGTTACAGCTCCTGACCACCCCGCCGACACATGGAAGCAACGTGAAAGTGGCTCAACGACTAACTGTACATACAATTGACGGCTTCGCACATATCTCGCCTCCATCCCGCCTAGTTCAAACAACGCTACGCAAACCATTCAAGGCGCACGGCATCTTAACCGCAACTACAACCAGGAAGAGAAGAGTACTCGAGTGCAAACCGTACTACACCTGCTGAAAGACGGTTCGCCCGATTTAGACACTTTTCTCCACTATCAAGGGACTTTTAAGACAGCCGTCCGCTAGAAATCACTTCTAGCTGCGCACCATAACTTCTGTGCGTTTGAAAAAACTCGTGCTGCTCGCAGCTTTCTTCGCTTCAAGCCTCTTTTCCACCGAAGCTCCAGCACATCATCCTTCCTGCGCTCAGAAGTTAGACGATCGGATCAGCCACTCGAACTACCTCAGTAGCACTTGCTTCAGGAATGGTCCCTGTTTCGGAATTTTAACACCGCGTGGTAGACAACACTTGGACGTCGAAACAAGCTGGTCAACTAGCCGACCCCACCCCCCAAAAGGCCCAGGAATTTACGGCTAGTCCTTCAACTGACCACTGCCACCCACGTTTCCGCTGCCGAGATCTCTCTTCTTTCCTCAATCCACCTCAAGCCACTCGCATTGGAAGGCTAGATCCAGGAACGTCCTTAGTCAGTCAATATCAAAGTGGGAATATCCTTCTTGACGCTCGTGCTCCCCACCAGACCTAGCTGGAGTATCCTTGAGCCTCCAAGAATCCTCCGAAGAGTATGTATATGGCCGTTCTCCCATCTGAGCACCCATGGTTATCAATCAGTTCAGATCCTGACTTCTCTCAGATCCTCACACATACCTTGTGATTTCTCCAAGGACCCTGATTCTATACTTCACTTACACGTTGACCACACATACACGGTCGAACTTGCAGCAACCGTTCACCAATCAACCTTTTAATATTCAGTAATATCTTCCATCATCTTGTTTCAAAGAAAAGACTTCATACTTCTCTTCAACTCGACCTGGTGCCGTGCACCTGTCTCACTCCTAATTCAGAAAGACACTCGCTCATTCTCTCGGAATACCATCCCTCACTCACTGGTTCTAACCTGAACCCAACTTCAACAAGAAAATCTACAACCACGAAAGATACCCATTATGGACGTCATGGAGTTGGTCGAGAACGAGCCTAATGCACGCCCATTCCAGTGTGATTGGCAAACATGTAGCAAGGTTTGTGAACATTTGATGGATGATCAAGAAACAATAGCTGATGGGAAAAATAGAGCTTCAACAGAAAATCCGATCTTCAGAGACATTATCGAATCCACACCAACGAGCGACCATACTCATGTATGACACCTGGATGCGGAAAGAGCTTCATCCAAAGAAGTGCCTTGACCGTTCACATCCGAACTCACACCGGTGAGAAGCCACATCAATGCCAACATATCGGGTGTGGAAAGCGATTCTCAGATGTAAGCAATCTGGGAAGTTGTCGGAGTGAAGGGATAGAGTACTAACACGATGTAGTCTTCGAGTCTTGCAAGACATCGTCGGATACACACGGGAAAGCGACCTTATAAGTGCGCTCATGAAGGCTGTTTGAAGAGGTTCGTTGAAATAGAGATTTCAGGCTGAATCCTTTCGCTAACAACATGCAGCTTTTGCCGAAAGACCACCATGGTCAAGCATCAACGGAGATCTCACCAACGAGGAGTTCACTCATCAGAACTTGAGGACGGCGAAACATCAGACTCCGACAATGGGGAGTCTCCATCAACACCTCAACATTCAGGTCAGATGCAATGGCCTCAGAACGGAATTCCTCAACACCAAGTGATGCCTCATGGCTCGTCGCTGCATCGTGCCCATTCATTTGCCGATTTTGGACATCAGCAACAAATTGACAGCTATCCAATGCAGCCAAATTATGGGCATCGCCACAGTCTTTCTGGCAACACACAGCCTTATCATCCACAAACGATACATGAACAACCACATCCTGTTCCAATCATGCACCGCGCACCAAGCCTTCCTGCACATTCATCGTACTATGTTCCGGAGCAAAACAACCCAGGGGTTGCAACACTGAATACAAACCCGCCTCCAATCCAGACGTACCAGATTCCACGTCAAACAATGGAAGGGCCACCTCACGAGATCATCCAAAGCAGTCCAAGCAGTTACTCATCTGCATCAAGAGCGAGCCCAGTGTCCCAAGAACCATACTACACACACCATTCGACACAAGCAGCTACCTATGCTTTGCACAACTCTTCGCCGATTGAGCAGCAGCAACAGCAGCAACAGCCAATGATTCATTATCAACTTCCTCCTCAACAGATGCCACCTCAACAGGCGCAGCAGCAACCTCAGCCAATGCCTGCCCATCCTCAACCAGTCGCTCACGTGCAGGATCACTATCACCATGCTCCACCACATCATGAGGCATGGTATGAACAGGTTGCTACTTATCAAGCACCTGAAGTGGTCGCTCATATCCAAGCATTCCCACCGAACAATGTGTTCCAGAACCCATGGCTCCAGAAGATCGAACACTACGACGACCCATCATTACAGATGCCCAGCGCTAGACTCGAGAATCTGTGATTGTATTATATCGCTACAACCTAATGGCTCTACCTTCCTGCTCATATTATCGAAAATAGTTGCAGTTTCATTCCTGCGTTGGCGTTTGTCTTCCACAAAATCGTCCTACCGTTATACCCAGAAAGATACGGTGGGGTTCAACAGTACCACGACTTTCCATCAAATCATTCCTGTCTCGTTTTTTTTCTTTGCGCTTGCGCTTGCGAATCCGAAAGACCGACAGCATCACCTGCTTCCAAAAGTAATCAACCTTTGTACCAACCTCACGATATCTCATGATTGAATATCTCTATCATCATATATACCTCCTAAATATATACACCGCCTACAATGGCGAGTCACGCGTCCCGACGACACAGTACATACTCATACCTTTGCTTCGAGGACATTCCTGGCCTTGCCGCTCATACACGACGGCGAGTTCCAAATCACACCTCGAATACCAATACATCTCCGACATCCTCCAACACTCACACCTTAATACATCGTGGATACCTGCGAGTCTAATTGTCTTTTTTTGTCAATCGTTTCCTTTATTTATACTTTACGCTAATTGAATGTGTTGTTGAGAGCATGCTGCATGTTAATGAGGTTGTTTCCTTTATTACGAATGATGCGAGGGGAGGAGCAGATGTATTTCTTTCGTGTTTTCCTTTTGAAAGTCTTTCTATCCCCTCGAGGGATTTTTTATGCCTGCATTGGGACAGCGATGTTGTACGGCCTGAACGCTTTTGAGGAGTCTACGGGGGATTTGAGGCACATGTAAGATTAACGTTAAGCCGAGTGGAATTTTGAAATGGTGGATTGTTTTGTTTGCTATTGTTGGATACTAAAGTTGGGGGGAATACATATCTGTTTGAGGAGGACTTAGTTAGTTTTGGAAAGGGATTGCATTGTAGAAAGTAAATAAGAAATAATAGTTCTGTAAAAATATCTCTCTGTCTCACTTTGCCTGTGAAGAATGCTCTCCCACTTGAGGTTCTATTCGCAAGTCATCGTCAGGAACATCGATTGCAAGTCACTATTGAATTCTGGCGGGTCGAGGGCTAGAAATGGTCTCCGTCCCAGACTTTCAATTGGAACGGTTTGAGGATCGCACCGACGGCGCGTACCGAGTCCACGTATTTGTGGTTGACTCCAAACCTTCTGGCCCGAAAAGCTGGGAAACATAACCAAATCTTATGGAAAAGAAGACCATAACAGTTATAAAGTAAGTCTCAGGTAATTAATGTATTTGATTATCTTCCAGTGTCGAAATGATCATAAGTTGGACTTGCTGGTTGCCACAATGGACCCCCAATTTGATGCGCCTCAGTTGATGCCTGAGGCGCTTACACTTTTAGTCGAACGTCGACTCGTCACATCATATTGCCTCTAGACAATCGAAGGCAGTGGAAACATTCGCCATTCAACCGCATCATCAATTCGTCGGTCATCGACACTCCTTACACATTCATTAAGAACGAGATTGCAAACCTGATATAGATATCTCGACTGGGCGCGAGTTGTTGTGGGTTGTGGACACGGGTTGTGTTGAGGATTAGATACTCGCCTTGCAGAATGGTCTTGCACAGTCCCGCGCTGCCGGTATGTATTTCGAACAATGGCTCTTTGGCTTTCAGTTTACTAATATATCAATGAAGGGTATTGGCAGTGCGACGTCGGCAATGTGTCTGCGGAGAGTCGCTGCGCGAAGTGCCGAGGGCTTGCCACGGACGATTCTACGAAATACATCTCAGAGATCGTTCAACACATCATCCATAAAGGCGACATCCCGGATAGTGTTCGATCGATCAAGTCCGTCCCCTTCTAGTGCGAAGTCATCGATACCATATGGGCAGAGGCAACTTTCGAGTCTACATTCGCAATTCCAGAAGGATGGTATCTGGGCGGCGAACTCGGCACTAGTACGCAACGGTATACAGCGAAGAACATTGTTCGGGAGCAGCAATACAAGTTCAAGGAATTTAGCGAATTTGGAGGAAACTGCGAACAAGAATCCTACGAGCGCGACCGCCCAAAATGCATTTTACCAGGCGCTGCAAAGAGCTGGTATGCCAGCGATAATTGTAGAACGATACCAGACGAACGCCTTTGCAACAAATCCTTCTTGTGAAGCCGCATATCACCGCGCGCTTGGGGCTCTTGGTCAGGCTGGTGGTGCTGGTGCTATGCAAGCTGGACAGTCTGGAAATCTCAGCGCCGCTCAACTACAAGCTATTGGTCAGGCAGTCGCCGCTTCTTCTCGTGGTGCCAATATTGGGATCTCTACTGGTGCGACTACTTCTTCTGGGGCTGGAGCAAAAGATGCGCCTCTACATGTCGTGGTTGAAGAAACTATTGGTGGCTCCATTTTCAAATGGGTTAAATTTGTCATGTACTTTGGTTTGGTAACTTACATCTGCTTGATCGTTGTCGCTATGGTAATGGAAACGTTTCAAGTGTTCAAGAAAGTTGGTGGAAAGGCCGATAACGAAGCCAAAGCCGAACACCAGAACGTACGCTTTTCAGATGTCCATGGCTGCGACGAGGCGAAAGACGAACTCCAGGAAGTTGTTGAATTTCTCAAGAACCCAGATAAGTTCTCTACTCTTGGTGGCAAACTCCCTAAAGGTGTTCTACTCGTTGGCCCTCCTGGTACTGGAAAGACACTTCTTGCGCGAGCTGTAGCTGGCGAGGCTGGCGTTCCCTTCTTCTTCATGTCTGGATCTGAATTCGACGAGGTCTATGTTGGTGTAGGAGCGAAACGTGTTCGTGAGCTCTTTGCGGCAGCTAAAGGAAAATCACCTGCGATCGTCTTCATTGATGAACTCGATGCAATTGGAGGAAAGCGAAATGCACGGGACGCCGCCTATGTCAAGCAAACTCTCAATCAACTTCTCACTGAACTCGATGGATTTGAGCAGAATAGCGGTGTTATTATCTTGGCCGCTACTAACTTTCCGGAAATGCTCGATAAGGCTCTTACTCGACCAGGTCGCTTTGATCGAAATGTCGTCGTACCACTTCCTGATGTCCGCGGTCGTCTGGCTATTCTAAAACACCACATGAAAAAGGTTATCATTGGTAAAGATGTCAGCCTTGAAACACTAGCTCAAGGTACTCCTGGATTTTCTGGTGCCGAATTGGAGAACATCATCAATCAAGCTGCTGTACATGCCAGCAAAGCCAAAGCGCAAGCCATCTCAATGACGGATTTTGAGTGGGCAAAGGACAAGGTCATGATGGGTGCCGAAAAGAAATCTATGGTAATTGGTCAAATGGAAAAGGAAATGACCGCCTATCATGAGGCTGGTCATGCTCTGGTTATCATGTTCTCACCTGCTTCAAACCCATTGCATAAAATTACCATCATGCCACGTGCTCAGTCTCTTGGTATGACAACACATTTGCCAGAGATGGACAAATACTCAATGAGCAAGGATGAGTATGAAGCCCGGATCGATGTCTGCTTGGGTGGAAAGGCTGCTGAAGAACTCATTTACGGGCCTGAACGTGTTACTAGTGGCTGCTCAAATGTATGTTCATTTTTCGTGTTCTCTTATGAGCCGCAGCTAACTTTTATTTAGGATATCCAACAAGCGACTCAAGTTGCATATTCAATGGTTACAAGGATGGGCATGTCACCCCTATTAGGAAATGTTGATCTCGACTCCAATCACGATTCTCTGTCTCCAGCGACAAAGGAATTAATCGAGAACGAAGTCCGCCGACTGATCGAGGAAGGCCGCGAACGTGCTACCAAGATCCTCCAGAGCAAGCGCAAGGAACTCGATTACCTAGCTGCAGCTCTCCTCGATTACGAGACCCTCAACAAGGATGAAGCGTTCAAAGTTATCAAGGGTGAGAAGTTGGAGGGTAAGGCTATCATGCCTAGAGGTGCCATCAAGATCCCAATCTCGGCGAGGCCTTCAGGCTCGTTACCTGGGGTCGCACCACTTCCTGGAAGTCAACCAGGTGGCGGGGATGATAGAGAGCCACCCGCTCCTGCTGGCGGAGCTGTCGCGTAGGATGGGACTTGATATCGCCAAATGTATTGGCAATTAAGATAATCACAACTCATAAATGAACCGGCGAAGGTGGCGTTCAATGGGAACCGTTGAAAAGAGGTGACTTGGTATATGACTTAATACATATATGTCTTCCTCAGTTTTCGTTTGGCTGTTGAGAGGACGTTCGAGGTGTGAAATCCAACTCGACAGCGTCGTAGCGGGCAACTAGGCGAAGAAAGCCATTTCTTTTGTTCAAAGGGGGAGGGAGAAGAGCGTGCGCATGGACGGTGGGCGTGGGTGAGTTCAGCCTGTAGGATAGCGTAGCATGAGTAGCTGTTGCAATAAGACTTATTAGTATACATCAGCTCGAGACAAACCTGATTTAATGATTTAGCTTGGTCTGGGATTTTTCTGACGCGATTGCTCAAAGCTTTACTGCTAACAGTCATGTGATTTGTTATCACGCGTACTTTGTGAGAGTCTTGTTGCACATCGCTGTTATATAACGTCAGTCATGACGCAGCTCGTTGGGACGGGCGTGCCGTCATCAGTTGGTACTCAGTCACCTCTTTCCATCACGCTTCCAACAACACAGCGCGAGAATTGCAGTTGAAGGTTCTGTCAAAAACGCAGAGCGTACGAACACCCTCATTCCCCGTGATCACGAAATTCCTTATCTTTTATATACCACGTCCATCACGGGACTAAGTAGAAAGTCTAACACGGCCGTCATGTGAAAAATACGAAGCCATGTTACAGGTTTATATTTCATATTTCAATATCTCCCACACCAACCCCTCTTCCCTTGATTTCCTCCTCGTAAAATACACAAAACCACCACTCCGTCTACCACAACCCTCCCTGCCCTGAGAACCCCAAAACATCATCTAAATACCAACTCCTTCAATATTAATGCCCCATCTATACAAATACAAGTAGTGCATGCTAAATAACGAATGATCGAATGATATAAGCCCTACTCCGAACCCAAATTTCCTTTCATAAACCCTGAGAACATGAAGGACAATTACGATGTGATGAATATCCCAACAAGTGATCCAAATAAGCGTGATCCAAAAATGATACTGAAGGCAGGTTTTGAACAGGACCTGAACTTCAGCCAAAGCTATGACTAAGACTCGATTTGCCCGGTCCATTAGCACGTTTCAGCGTGCGAAGCTCGTCTTCGAGTCTCCTTCGCTCTGCTTGTTCAGCCTAAAAGTTCCGTTAGTACAAGTCATATAAATTGAGAAAGAAGCAACAAACCCTCAAAGCCTTTGCGTTCTCCGCTCTGGTATCCCTCATCATCTTCTTGAATTCGTTTTTCAGGACCGTCGTGCTAGTGGTACCGGGCGCAGGCATCTGACCATCCATACCAGGACTTCTCATGCCGAGCCAACGGACCTTCTCATCGCTGAGCTGGGCTTCGAGTTGTTCTCGCTCATCACGGAGTTTGTCGACTGTGCCTTCGAGCTGTTCACGCTCTTTCTCCCATTCGATGCTCGCTTTAGTCATTTCCTCGTATTCTCCAATGGTTTCCTCAAGTTCTCTTTTCAAGGTACGCATTTTCTCGTCGGTTTCGGGATTGGCAGTACCTCTAGCTTTCAACGCAGCTAGCTCCTCGGCAAGTGAATTGTTCTTTCTTGTCAGATCGTCAAACTCTTTTTGAATAGCAGGGTTGGCCGCAATGTCAGCTGCTCGCTGAGCTCGAGAACCATACGCGCCATCAAGTTCGGCTCTTGCAATAGTTACCTCGGTTTGTAGGCGAGCAAGATCCATGTTCATGGCTTCCATTTCTTTTTCCTTGGTGGAAATTTCACTTTCTCTATCTTTAGCTGCCTTTTCAAAGGAAGTTTGAGCAGCAGCGGCCGCAGTCAACTGCTGTGTCAATGTAACAATCCTAGCTTCCGACTCGTTGATGCGGGTTTGTGTTTCCGCGTTACTGATAGCCTGGTCGTCTTTCAGCTCCTGAAGCTCCTCTTCCATAGCCATCAGCGATGTATTAGCAGCATCAAGCTCTCTCTGAGCCGCGCGGACAGCTTCTGACTCGTCCTTCGATCTTGATTGGTCACGCAGTTGATCTTGTTGTCTTGACTCATCAAGCTTCTCCATTACGAGAGTCAATTGTTGGCGAACCTGGTCAGAGTCCATTTCTGTCCTCCTTAGCAGATCCTGCATTCTTTCCAGTTCCTCTGTCTTTCGGGTGATGTCTGCATCCTTGACGGCATCGGATTTGTTATTCAGCTCCCGTTGCTGCTTGATCTGGCGTTGAAGAACTTTCTTTTGATCTTTGAGTTTTGTTGCTTGAGCATACAGAAACTGGACCTTTGTTGAGAAAGCTTGCGTAGAAAATTGCTCGTTAGGGTTCCCTTCATCGTCGTCTGATTCGTCTTCGTCTGGTGGCAGATTGTTTTTTAATCGATTCTGCCGTCGCTCTGATTTCCTTTCACGAGCTTCCTGTTCTCCAGAGAGTATGATATCCCAAAGACCCATCATAACTGCTTCCATTTGCTCCTGATTTCCGTTGCCTTTGCTGGCCAAATTTGCTGAGCGGTTTAGTTCCGCTTCTACGACATTGACGCTATTTTGGAAATAATCCAGCTGGTTGTTGATATCTCTCCCAGTAAGCTGCGGAGGGCCTTGGAGCGCAGTATCGTAGACCTGTAAAACACTATGTAGGTCTCTGTTGAGCTCCTCAATTGTTTGCTCCATAGCAGCTTCAGAGATGTTGTTTTGGCTTAGAAATTCCGACTGTTCTTTGCCAATGGTAGAGATTCCGTGCTCCAAATAACGCAATGATTCCTCAAGCGTCTCACCCGGCTCCGTAGGTTTTCCAGAGTTGTTTGTCTTGCTCAATGGAGGCATACCTAACATAGCCTGTTGCTGTGGGTTGGCTTGGACGATGACCTCCCGCAGGCGCGAATTCAGATCTTCCAGTTTCTGCTCGGTTTTTGCGATCATTTGCATTTGTTCCTTGGAGGCTTTTGAAGAACTTCCACTCGTGTCCGAAAACCCATCTAGGCGATCAAAAGACCTATACAGACTTCTTTCATCAAAAATAAGGTCATCCTCGGGGAGTGGCTCGAAGCTGTTCCTCGCGTTCGTGTAGGTATACATGCTCTCAGGACTTCCTGGTATTCCGTTTTGACTGACACCAGAAGGACCTTTGGAGGTGAGTTTAGGTCCCTTATGCGTCATTTGAAGAATTCCGGCTGTATGCTTAAGCAGTGTCGACTGCGGCTCCATAATCCGCCTCTCCAAGAACCACAATTCTGTAGCCAAATCCTCGCACTTCTTTTCGGCAGCACTCCGTTCCTGATTTGCTTCCTGGGCATGCTCACTACTGTTCCGATTATGTCCCAATATACCACGAACTTTGGATCCATCAAAACTCTTTTTCTTTTCCGGGAGGTACAATTTGGACATAGAGATTGCCGCATCGCGATATTTAGATTGAATAAGAAGGTTCTGCCGCGTCTGCTCAATCCGTTGTTTGAGCGTCTTGATCTCCCGCTTCAGATCATCTACCTCGTCTTCTGACAATATCTCGAATTCCTGGCTGTCACCTAGGGCTGTTTCTACTAGTAGGTGTACTTGTATCGAGTCGTTGAGATTGAGCTGTTTAGAGCTTTGAGGCCGCGCGGGATTTGCCTAGAGAAATGTTCAGATTTAATGCGAGAGGGGGAATAACACTGCTACTTACCGGATTGTATCTCTGGGCGTCGCCTGGGAAACCATTCATAATATCCGTATTGTAACCATTCAATACTGCTCTGGGCGACGGCTCCTGCACTGCCGGACTTGACCTACTCAGGTTGTATTGCCTTGGAGATAATTGCCCACCTCTCTCTGGATTCCCGTAACCATTCTGACCTCCTCCACCGCCATACATATTGCCTTGACCTGGCTGTGGAGCCATTCTCTTTCCTTGAAATGTGCCGTTCATTCTTGCGGTCCTTGGGAATGGTGCGTCTCCCAGTTATGCCATGCGGTGCTGGTGATTGATATGTATCGCGACTATTTCATCCTCTCGTATTTCTCGTCGTTAATCTTTTTCGAATGCGCGAAGCAATATGCGACAGCAAGGAGATTGTCCGCAATCAGCTAGACTTGGTGTTTAGGTTGTAATGTTTCGAGCCGCTCCTCCACCTAATGCTTTTTTGGCGCCTCTAATGTACTTCTCCCTATTTTAGTGTTCCTGGAGGATGATTTGGGCCTTCGCCTGTGTCGCAGATCTAGAAACAAACGAACCCAAGGAAACCGACAAGGAAACAAGTAGCAACTTTGAGGGTGTAAATTTAGGAGAATCGTCTCTCTATTTCATGGAGTATATCGAAGCAGGCAGTGATAGAAACATTGCTGTCGAACATGTCAAGTTATTAGTGTTGCGATCGTCGGCCGTTGATACTTCCGTGCAATTAGGGACAAAGCGGGAAGAGGCAGGGAAGACAGCGGTCCCAGGGGTCTCCTAATCAACACGTGCTTCTCCTCGCTTGTCCTTTAACTCAATTCAGGGGCTGAGCTGGAACTCCGAGAGACAAAACATTTTTTGGTTATTTTAGATAAAATAATACGGTTGGATTTCTGATGCTGAGTATTCTAGGGGACTCAGAGGATGCAAACGAATTGGCTTATTGGCGGCGCGGCCATTTTCAGCCTACCCGATACGTACAGCCTCAGCCATGATGGATTATGCCTTCCGAAACCAGGTTGTTGGGTTGAGCCTTGTAAGTGATTTTGAGACAGATAGAAAATGTTACTTACAAGTTTTGCCTTGACTGGCTATGTTTTTCCACGGTCTATTTTAGTCTGCGGTGTTTAGTTCTTGGAGAATTACACTCATGCTTATTATTCGAGAGAATCCGTGAACAGAGAAGGATACACCAATGCATAATATGGCTAGTTTTTATCGTTCTCTGTGGGTGGTCAAATGAAGGCCAAGTACTTTTGAGATCTCCTGGGTCTTACAATTACGTATGGAACGATTTGAAAAGTGCTTGCTATTTTTGTGAGATAAATGTCTTAGCTACACAACACCAACACAGCTTACTCCGTACGCCATGCAGCCCAACCCATGAACTCCTGTTCCAGAAACCGTCCAGAGCAATGTACATTCCCAGCACCAATCCAAAATCCATTGTTGACTTATGTACTCCCCGATAGCTTCTCGCTCACAAGTCCACTAACTTCTCCCCTCTCTCCAAATCAAAACTGCGGTCAACATTCCGACCGTGAGTAATGAGGAGGGCTAAAAAGGCTATCAAACTTCCAACATGTGTGTATGTAAGAAATTGCACTGTCCATATAGCAATCTTTTCCAACCGTGTGCAGTTCTCAAACAGACGTGGCGATGTCTCCTCTTGACACGATTTTGAATCCCACACCTGCGATGCTGAAGGCCATGAACCAGCATTGATTCTGAACACGAACGCATAGATCAGTGGATAAGTGTTGAGGCTGAAAATATAATAGAAGCCGAAGAGAACCAAATAAGAATATGTGATTGTGGCAATCCAGCCGTAAGCAGCGACAAGAATCAATCCGGTAAATAGTATCATCGATGAGAAATAAACGGTAGCAAGGAACATGGAGAAATTGATCAACCATGCGACTCTGCCTTCCCACTTTCTCGTGGAATGTGGGAATGGTTGGAGTAATTGTTGGTTCTCGGTGAGATCTGACATGCCAACATGAGGAGGTAATAGAAACCAGACTGTGGGTTTTGGTTTTATTTGTTTGTCTGTTTCTGTTAGCATCATGCTTATGCTTATGAAGGGACGGCGATGCCACTAACCAGAGGCATTGAGAGCGGCTTTCAATTCCAAAATCTGCTCCAACTGATGCATGGCTGGGCTAAATTCAAGTGATTGATATTTCAAGTCCTCCATAATGTTAAGTATGAAAAGTCGTTGCGTCTATACAGGTGTAACAAGATTGAAGATTGATATATCCATTTGTGAGGAACAGCTGTAATTTATTCACATTTGGGGCTCGCCATACCAAATCTTCCTCAGCCGTAGGCACTGAATCCGCGTGCCCACGGTACGGAATAAGCCAGGCGGAAACGCTCAAAAGGAAGGAAAGGGCGTTCATACCTGTTGTATTATTGACTGCCCTGGCGAGAGGAAGAAAAGTTCTCAGTGGGGGTGGCTTATTACCTCGACCAAAATCTTTGCTACTAAAATATTTGTGTAGAGCCTCAATCCTTCAGAAAAGCGAGACATGATACGTAGAAATAGCGTAAAGAAGAATTCTTTTTAGCTAAACTGGCCAATCCTCACTTACAGAGTACGAAAAGAACTTTTTGGGCACAGTGCCCGCCACAGATGAGGCTAAGAATAGGGTCAATGGGGAGTGCAATATTTACCAACAGCAACAGCAATAATGTCGTATCACACGTTACTACGATTTCCACAAGAAATAAAACGTGGTATCGCGAAATGCAACAAATTGTTTGCTTAAGCTGTCAGCCAGTTAAGAGCAAAGTACACGTGGCTCACCGACTCTTTGAAGACTTCCAGAACGTGGCTCTAGAACGCGAGATGCAACAAAACTCTGCTAAAGGATATTGCCTCGTCGCAAGTCTTCGTAGCAAGTCACAGCAAGCCGTACTGCATATGGAAGAGAATTGTCGAAGATTCAGAGAATTTGAAAAGCACCAGCCGCTTGTGTTGTAATCGAGTTCTACGCCCGCATAGTCCACATTATCGCAAGTGAATGGGTATAATCGCTGAGCTCGAACTGAATGTATCTTCTGGGCCAGATTATGATTCAAGTGGTGACAGTGCTTTTTGGCATGCGTTTGCTCTGAGAATTTGAGACCGACGAAGAGATGCTGCGCCTCGAATCATACAAGTACAAAGTCAATCGCACAAAGTGATTGAGAGCTGTTCTCATCCAAATCCTGGCAGCAGAATCCACACTTACTGAAAGGGTTCAATATTTGGGCTCCAATGTAGGGAAAGAATATTAAAGGTTTTGGTTGTAGACAAGCTTGACTGGAAGTCGGAGCTTGCGAGGTTCGAATTTCAAAATGGGCAAATTGATCACGTGCCAGATAAGCTAGCCACATTGAAGCATGACGCCTGTCCCAAGCTGTTGGCTTTCAACAACAACCATCCTCTTAGGCTCCTAACTCACTCGGGGACGACACCATCCAGCTTGAGAGTCAGTACTGAAGGATACTGGGCAAGACTCCCATATTCGCCAACCATGGCTCCTGCGCAGGACACCATGTTCCGCTCAGCGGACATGAGCTTGGTCCAGCTCTACGTTGCGAAAGAAATCGGCCGCGAGGTCGTCAATGCATTGGGAGAGCTTGGGCAAGTTCAGTTTCGCGATGTGAGTATGGTACTGGGTAACGGATTGATTGGTGCTAACAAGCAAACCAGCTTAACTCGGACGTGACCGCATTTCAGCGAACTTTTACACAAGAAATCCGCCGCCTTGACAATGTCGAAAGACAGCTGAGTGGGTAGCCTAGGGCCGCGAGAGCTTGCAATATCTAACATAAACTAGGATACTTTCATACGCAGATGGAGAAAGCTGGTATTAACCTCCGTAAGATAGATTTGGATGTCGACACCTTGGCAGCTCCATCCGCCTCCGAAATCGACGAATTGTCCGATCGAAGTCAAAGCCTCGAGCAGCGAGTCTCATCTTTGAACGACAGCTACGAGACATTGAAGAAACGAGAGGTCGAATTGATTGAGTGGCGATGTGTTTTGAGGGAAGCCGGTCAGTTTTTTGATAGAGCACACGGCAATGTGGAGGAAATCCGAGCTTCTACAGAGGACGATGATGCGCCACTCCTCCAAGATATTGAGCAGCATGCCACGGGCCAAAATGGAGATGCTGAGAGGTCCTTCTCCGTCATGAACATTGGTTTCGTCGCTGGTGTCATTCCCAGGGATCGTGTTGCGGCATTCGAGCGTATTCTCTGGCGGACGTTGCGTGGCAATCTTTACATGAATCAGTCTGAGATCCAAGAAGAACTCATTGATCCTACCAACAACGAGCCTATCAAGAAGAATGTTTTCTTGATTTTTGCACACGGAAAGGAGCTTATAGCCAAAATCAGGAAGATCTCAGAGTCTCTAGGTGCTGATTTATACAGCGTCGATGAGAACAGCGATCTCCGCCGGGATCAAATCCACGAAGTCAACACTCGCCTAGGAGATTTGGGAAGTGTTCTCAAGAACACCAAGACCACACTGGATGCGGAGCTCACTCAGATTGCTCAAAGTCTGGCTGCCTGGATGGTCCTTGTCAAGAAGGAAAAGGCTGCATACCAGACATTGAATTTGTTCTCCTACGACCAGGCCCGAAAGACCCTTATCGCAGAGGCGTGGTGTCCCACGAATTCCCTACCTGCCATTAAAGCGACACTTCACGATGTCAATAACCAAGCGGGGCTTTCTGTCCCATCTATCATCAATGAGATTCGAACAAACAAGACTCCACCGACATATCAGAAGACTAATAGGTTTACGGAAGGATTTCAAACAATCATCAATGCCTATGGAACTGCCAAATATCAGGAAGTCAATCCTGGTCTGCCGACTATTGTTACCTTCCCCTTCTTGTTTGCTGTTATGTTTGGTGATTTTGGTCACGGATTCCTGATGGTTGTTGCTGCCGTCGCAATGATATACTGGGAAAAGAAACTGAAAAAGGTTCGTGATGAACTTTTCGTCATGGCTTTCTACGGACGCTACATTATGCTCATGATGGGTATCTTTTCCATGTACACTGGTCTCATCTACAACGACGTCTTCTCTAAATCACTCTCACTCTTTCCTAGCGCATGGAAATGGGTAAAACCAGAAGGCTGGGTTGAAGGACAAACTCTGGTAGCACAACTAAACCCAGACACGCCAGGTTATCGATACCCATTTGGTCTGGACTGGATGTGGCACGGAACGGAGAACGATCTCTTGTTCTCTAACAGTTACAAGATGAAGCTCAGTATTCTCATGGGTTGGGCACATATGACATACTCATTGTGTCTTTCTTACATCAACGCCCGCCATTTCAAGACTCCAATCGATATCTGGGGCAACTTTGTCCCCGGCATGATCTTCTTTCAATCGATTTTCGGATACCTTGTCTTCACCATCGTATATAAATGGGTGGTTGATTGGAATGCTATCGGCGAGTCGCCGCCTGGACTGCTCAACATGTTGATCTACATGTTTTTGTCTCCTGGTACCATCGAGGAACCGTTATACCGTGGTCAAGGACCAATCCAAGTCTTCCTTGTGCTCCTTGCCGTGATTCAAGTGCCTGTTTTGCTTTTCTTGAAGCCACTCTACCTCAGGTGGGAGCACAACAGAGCCCGTGCTAAGGGGTACAGAGGACTTGGTGAGACCTCCCGTGTTAGTGCACTTGATGGTGATGATGACGACAGCAATACCTTGGACGGAAGAAACAGCCTTGCCAGTGATGGCGAAGGTGTGGCTATGATCACGCAAGATATTGGTGGAGATGAAGAACATGAGGAGTTTGAGTTTTCAGAAGTCATGATCCACCAAGTCATCCATACTATTGGTAAGTTCGTCCGGACCGTTTTATTGTGAATTTATACTGACCGATGTAGAATTTTGTTTGAATTGTGTTTCTCATACCGCTTCCTATCTACGTCTCTGGGCCTTGTCGCTTGCCCATCAACAACTCTCGGTCGTCTTGTGGACGATGACATTGGCCAATGGTCTCTCAACCACTGGACCCTTAGGAGTATTCATGATCGTCGTCACATTCTACATGTGGTTTTTCCTTACGATCGCAGTTCTTGTCGTTATGGAGGGTACCAGTGCCATGTTGCACAGTTTGCGTCTACACTGGGTCGAGGCCATGAGTAAACATTTCATGGGTGACGGAATACCTTTTGAGCCATTTTCATTTAAGCAGATGTTGGAGGAGGATGAGGCAGCAGCAGACATTTCGTAAAACGCGGCACAGGCTGCGTGTTGTATTTCTTACTCTTAGATATATTATCCTGTAGAATTAAAGGCTTCGTAAAGTAGCTGAACCTGTAACATTTTGGTTCCTTCGAGTTGGCCATTGAGGCACAGAGCTGTAATGGACAATACACGGGTGAGGAACGAAAACCTGATTCGACGATCTGTACAAAGTTGCAGTGGTGAGACGCATTTATTCCCTCAGGGGCGTCGAAGAGGATGCACTTGACGCGGGATCATCCAATAAGAGATACCACAAAGCTTAGGGGACTTCCCCATCTTTGCTTGTTGCAGGGAAAGAAAGTGCAGGAGTGAGGCATTCCATTCTGGTGGCAGCATCTGACTGGAGCGAATAAAGTACCTGAGGGTGAGATATGGTTGGTTTTTGTATTAGCAGTGCAGTAGTCAATAGGGAGTTGCTTCTTCACCGCTGCGGGGGGGACGTGGACGTGCAACAATTTTTTTCGGCGACACCTCGCAGGTTGGGTTGGTGGGTTGGATCCAGATCCTTCCTCAGCTGTGGTCAGAGAGGGCCCTTTTTAAACCCCTCCTATTCAGTCTCCCCCTCGTCTGAGATTCACTTTGAATACTCTTTTCGTGGTTATTCACAGCTGTCCAGATCTGTATTCTGTTTGGACGTGCGGGACATTCTTTTCTTTCTATCCCACTTCAGCTTTCAACCGCCACCCCACCAAGATGTCCTTCAACAACCGCAAGTTCTCCATGAATCGCTCGTCTGGTGTGCCCAGAGAGTCGACCAGATTGAGCCGCAGATTCAGTTCCCACGAGCCAAGTAGCAATGGTGAGTTCTTTACGATATTTCCCAGAGAAATCTTTGCCAAGTTGTGTTTATTTACTTTGCTGTTTTGTTTCAAAAGCTGTTGCAGTGCCAAGATCGGGGTCTTTTGCGTTCCTGGCGGCGTGGTGCTGCCACTCTTGAGCTTGTATCCTTCCGCGAAGATCACCGTGTTGGTATGCGCAACCTCTTACTAAGAACCCCTCGCAGAAACCAACTCCAAAATCCATCGTCAATTCCGAAATGCCCACGAAGGCCATAAATCCCACGCCGGTCTCGACCCGACCCGTGCTTCTACTGGTGTGATCTGGTGTACCGAACGAGCATACGAACATGGTTTCCTCGATGAGCCTGAGAAGTGGGCGAATCTTGGTCAGGGAGCTCCAGAAGTCGAGGACGATATCGAGGGTAGTTTCGAGCGGCCAAAGGAGATTGATGTTAGCATGACTGGACGAGAGTACGGTCCTACTGCTGGTATCAAGAGTTTGCGTGCTGCGGTCGCCAATCTATACAATGCTCACCACAGAGAGGGCAAGGAGTCGCAGTATACTTGGGAGAATGTGTGTATCGTGCCAGGTGGTAGAGCTGGGTTGATCAGAATCGCTGCGGTTCTGAACAATGCCTACTTGGGTTTCTTCATCCCTGATTATACGGCTTACAACGAAATGTTGTCGCTTTTCAAGAACGTAAGTCAACGACTTCTAGTTGTGGTGGTCTTGTGCTAATTATATCAGTTCGCAGCCATCCCTTCACCTCTCGCCGAAGACGACGAATATAGTATCCACCCAGACAAGATCGCTGAGGAGATTGCTCGTGGTACATCTGTCATTCTTACCTCCAACCCTCGTAACCCTACCGGACATGTCGTCAAGAACCCTGAGCTCGCTGAGATCCAGGATATCTGCCGTGATAGAGCCACGTTGGTTATGGACGAGTTCTATGCTGGATATAACTATACTAGCGACTGTGATGGTACCTCTATCAGTGCTGCTGACAACATTGACGATGTTGACGAGGATGATGTTTTGATCATTGATGGTCTCACGAAGCGCTTCAGACTTCCTGGATGGAGAATTGCTTGGATTATTGGTCCAAAGGTATATCTTACGGCCCAAATAGCAGGTTCTCAGCTAATGTCTCCAGGAATTCATCAAAGCAATCGGATCCTGTGGTTCCTACCTTGACGGTGGAGCTAACGTCCCCTTCCAAGAAGCCGCCATCCCTATGCTTGAACCCGGCAAGGTCCTCACAGAAATGAAAGCCCTCCAACGCCACTTCAAGGACAAGCGAGACTACGTTATTGAACGTCTCCGAGGAATGGGTTTCCACATCAAGAACGTTCCTGACTCCACCTTTTATCTCTGGCTTGATCTTGAGGGTCTCCCGGCCGCTATCTCTGACGGACTTAACTTCTTCCAAGCTTGTCTTGAGGAGCGAGTCATCGTTGTCCCTGGTATCTTCTTCGATCTTAATCCTAGTAAGAGACGTGATCTCTTCGATAGCCCTTGCCATCATTTCGTCCGGTTCAGTTATGGACCTAAGATGGAGACTTTGAAGATGGGGTTGGATGGTATTGAGAGGGTTGTTACTAAGTGAGTTTTCCCCTCTACATCTATTCTTTTGTTGAGTAGGTATTGACTTCAAATAGGTTCAAGGGTGGTGCTGAGAACCCTGAGTAAACGAATGAAGATTCTAGGCATATATACTGCATTAGATTTTACATAGACTTTCTTTACATAGATCGTTGAAAATTCCGAATTTCTTTTCTTTTCATGATTGATGATGGGAAATGGGTGGGATATGGAGATATGGCAGTGTTATGATAGATTGATAGAAATACAAAGAAATCGAAGAATTACACGTGGATAACAGATCATAGGATTGTGTCGCCATCATCTCTTTAGAGAACGAAGACCTTGGAATCGACACTCTTTAACTTGAGACTTGATGATTAACGTAAGTTGGGCGGTATTTTGACTTTTAGGATGAAAAGTGAATTACCATTTTCACGATCATGTTGGGGGGCGTGGGTTCTAAGGATTGTGTTCTCATGAGCCACCAACCCAGCAACGCCTCGTGCGCTCACTACGCGGGTTAGATGGTGTTATTGGAACTACCGTACCGTCCACTGTCAATTAAACTTTCTATACGCTTGGTGTTGTGTTCATGACAGAGTGCTAATTCAGGATTGTTGGGCAAGTGACCTTCCTTATAGTTTTGCCCCTTCGAGATGCAAGTATAAGAGGTAGAAGACAATCCAGAGTGAGTTCTCTTTCTCTTCATCGATACCTCTCTCTAGCTCCCAACTTCCAGCTCCTAAAGCACCAAGCACCCATCATATTTACATAGCATCATCTTTCACTTACCTCAACCCCTCACAATGCACTTCCTCACCCTCCTCCTCCCCACCCTTCTCGCCTTCACCAGCACCACTTCAGCCTGGACACAAGACCCCAACGGCGTCTGGGTAGCCAACGACAACTGGCATACAATGGGACATCGTAAGTCGCACTCTCTCACTCACCATCCGCGAGACTTATACCTCTTCCAGGACGCGTCCACGAATCGTGCACCACGATGAACAGCGACAAAATACACAAATCGGTCGACGTTTGCGCGTATTGGAGTGATGCTAAAGGGGGCATGTTTAAAGGGAGTATGTATTGCCTGATGTGATGGGGATGGAGATTGGGGGTTTTGAGGGTGTGCTAATGGGTAGTAGCTTGTTTTTATGCGGCGGATAGGATGAAGGGTCCTTTTGTTGATTGTCGGAATTATGAGATTGGGCTGAATGTTTGAAGGGGTGGGATTGTAGTTAGGTGGGGGGTTAGTTCTCATGACTCATACGACTAGAATCTACCAATTTTCCATCCCATGACTTGAGCATTAACGTAGCATCTTACAAAGTTAATACTCCACGAAATACTCTGCTTGTAAATTACGGTACTCGCCATCTTACTGGCGAGTTTCTCTTTTGCGGTGTGTTTTCATTCGCCAATAAAGCCATGTGGGCTTATTAGACGGGGTGGATAATGCTATTGGTACTGTCTACTGCTCCGGTTCATTTAGGCAACACCTTTCTACGCGATTTGGCCACTGCCATTGGTACTTTCGCAATATTTACTAGATAATTCATGTGATATGGTCGCTTTTCCGATATCTCGGCTCGCTTTCACACATTTCTGACGAACAGACAAATATCTTCTCTCCTATTTTCGGTGAGGCCTATTACACGAATTAGTGGCGTAGGCTGTAAACTAAGGATACCACAGGTCTTAGTCCGTGGACTGTAAAATGGGGTAATTGGGCCAGTAAAAAACTCTACCAAAACTCTGGAATAAGAAGCATAAATAATATCCCTTCATGGTCCACTTACAGGTACCTCTCGAATGAAAATGAAGTGCAGAGACTTAGGATTATAGTAGGTACTCGGTGTAGTATGCATAAATTTAAAGCTAATTCAGGATAGATGGGTACGTAACCTTACGCTTTCTTCTCCGAGAGATTTAGGTATAAGAAGGGGATGATAATCCAGAGTTCCTTCTCTTTTTTCTTCAACGACATCTCTCTGCCTTTCTACCACCTCCAGATTTCAATTTCTCTAAACCATCAATATCAACTTTCAAGCAACTCCATCAAGATGCATTTTTCTACATTCCTCATTCCTACCATCATCGCTTTCGCCGGAGGCTGCTCTGCCTGGACTAAGGACGCCAACGGTGTATGGGTTGCAAACAACGTTTGGTATACAATTGGGGACAGTAAGCCACCCTCTCAACCAGAAAAGGCATAGAATCACAGCACTTTTACCCTTTCAACTTACACATTATCCATTTAGGACGAGTCCACGAATCGTGTACCTACATGAACACTAACAACATTCACCCTTGGAATGACGCCTGCGCGTACTCGACCGATAACAGAGGCGGTCAATTCAAAGGACGTATGTGATCCGCAAAGTCTCTTCGTGGTGTCTAATCCTTTTGATGGTTCTGTGCTTATGAAATTTAGAATGCAAGCCATGTCCTAACATTCCCAATATGGTTGCTTGTAGAGCCGGGGACTTTCTGTCCCGTATTCCGTGTCCAGCCGCTTGAATACCTCGAGGCTTGAGCGTTCAGAAGACTTGGGTGTTCTTGTAAAAGCTTCGATGTCGGAATATGTGCTGCTTGCGACGTGGAGCAGGTCGGGATCATCCGTGTATAGAATTCCTCTTGCTACGAGGGGAATATTGAATTTACAGATCCAATCCCTCGTCTTCCCCGGGTTTCTCTAATTTATAACTTATATGAACTCTCCCACAGTGCTTCCAGACAAAATCAAGATACCTGTTGATACTTCCATTCTGCACACCGATAAGAAAGAAAATCCGGAGTAAGATGGGTTTTAAGGCGGCAAGAGGTAAAGGCCAACAACAGTCGACACAGAGATTCATGTTGTAGTGTACGCGAAATTATATCTTGGCGAAGACCAGACGAGCAGCTTAAAATCGCCAGCTCCAACATCATCAATGAGACAACGAAAAATTTAAGAAAGCTGGAAAGGCCCCAGCACAAAGAGGGATAACTGTGTGAGTGAAAAATGAAGACTGTAGGGGAACAGTAACGAACCACACACCTTCCACGTAGTCTCTTGACACCAACCGCCTCATCTCCCCCTGCCCTTCATCCATCCTCCATCCCTTCTCTCAAGCCTCAACATACCTCAACTCCTGATACCCGTCCCCAACCGCCAATGCCTCTATTTCCGATACTCCCCCTTCTCCAAATCCCTCCAACCTAACATCCCACTCCCCAAAATAACTCACTTCCTCCCTCGTCTTGCAAAATCCAAAACTCTCAAACAACGCCAGTGAAGCAGTATTCTCTTGTGAGATCTTGGCGTGGAGAGTCAATTTGTTCCGTGGGGGTATTGTTGCGGGTATTGGGTTTGAAGAGGTTGTTATCGTTGGAGAGGATGGAGTTGAGTATTCCAAGAGGATATCCGAGACATGCGTCCTGATAAAATGTATAAACGTAACAAGCGCACTCCTCGCAAACCCCTTCCCTCTCATTTCTTTTTCCGCAATCATGATTTCCAACTCCCCCAACACTCTTTCATCGTTTTCATCATCGTCGGAAAGAAACATATTCACATCTCCAACCATTCTTTCTGGGGTATCTACTTCTCCACTGCGTACTTGTCCGGTCGTTGTTTCGTCCGCAGTACTGATCGGTGTAAGAGAGGGTATGGTAGTTAGCGGCAAACAAATGATAAAAGTCAATTTATCCCTATCTACCCGCCAGGATTTCTGCATCGCGTATTCATCTGGGTGGGTGAGCGGGAGAGATGAGGTTTGTTCTTGGAGGAGGGGGTCGGACATCCACTATTTCTTGTTAGTTGATGGCTTAAGATATGGGTAGGGAGGGGACTGACTTCATGATATCTCTCCACATGCCTCGATTCATAAGGGACGAGGAGAACTTTATCTTTCAGCGAAACAGCTATTCCGCATCAGTCATCATTTCATCACACGCATCAGTCGACGTACCGACTCCTTGGTTAACCCTCATGATCTCCCTTTTAACTCAGTTCCTCTCCGAATATCTATCTTTCTCAATCCTTCTCACCAATCTTTCTTACTCGATTTCCTATCTTCAACCCTTCCCTCTTCCGTTCCAAAACGAACAACCAATTCACACGTGACGTTCAAAAATTTTCCCACTCCCATGTTATGTCAGGTCACATGATCTTATTTCACACCAACGAAAAGATTTGTTGCATTTCGAGAGTTGTTGGAATGATGTGCAGGAAGCTACAGTATGCGAGTCATATTTTGGGGGGTTGGATGTGGGGGTTACAGGGATGATTTGGAATTGGAAGGTGCGCGCTGATGGGTCGCCAAGAAGGTCTCCAGGGAGGTGGAAGGAGAGGATAATAAGTTGATATTATATTATGGAGTCAAGATTTACTTGCATGATTAAGGAGACTAATGAAATCGAAGATGGAATTTAAAGTGTGGAATTGAACGGTTACTTCTAAGCCTCACTAAAACCTTTTTATGTACCTTGAGGAATGGTACTTAGAGTCCATGAACATTAGATTTATAAAAGACCAAGATAATTACGATGGACACTTTTATACTTTTCAATTTTCTATTCAAGGATTAATTATTAATATTCTCACCACTCTTTAAATTACCACAAGATCCTAATTTTCCCACCTATTTACTTCCAAACCCCTTCCCGTTCAAAAATCCATTAATAACCCCATACGCAGCTGTAACATTATAATGCAAATTAATTCCATGTCCGGTGTTGGGCTGGATATACGACTCAAAATTAGTCCCGTTCACATTCGGGAAATTTTTCGATACCATCGCCGCAATCGACGGTGCTACGCCTCCGGTATTCAGGCAATCACTGCCGCAAAATGGGAGATCGGCATCTAAATTTCGAGTTAGTGAAAGTGTCAGTCAGAAATTGTACTCAGATTTCGTACCTCCGTTGATCACAAGGACTGGGCCAGCGAAATTGTTCATCATAGGCACGCTACCAAGCGTGAGGAGTTCGCCAATGGTAACTGGTTGTTTAGTCTGTTCCGCGAGCGTAAGGATAGCAGGGTCATAATATTGGGGTTTCAGGAAGAGATATTTGTTTGCGGCCGCATTGGCGGGAACGAGGTAGCCATTTGGTGTGTTTTGCGGCTCGGGGAGGCTACCGAGATCGAATGGGGCAAGGTAATCGAAGAGGTTTGTGGCATATGTGTCGATAAGATTCTGGGCTTGGCTGCCGTTGATGTTGCTGAATCGGAGAGGTTGGTTGAGATAGGCTTGTTGGAGATTGTTGCCTGCTGCGAAGAGACCGATGAAGGAGCTGTTCATGGAGAAGCCTGTGAGGACTACTCCGTCGGAGATACTCGGGTATTTGTTAACTAAGGAGTAGGTTTGAGCAGATCCGAAGCTGTGTCCAACGTGGACCACGGTGTTATAAGTGTGGTTGACACCGGGAAAGGTACCGGCTCTTAGCATTTGTGTCAGCTTTGCGGTTGCTTCCACTTCCAGGAAGCTTTGAATCTCGTTCACTGGATCTCCGTGCGATGACTTTCCAACCCCGAGACGATCGAAACTCAAGGTGTGATATTTGAACACATCAGTAGCAACTTGAACATAGCTGTAGTTGAAGTCGTTGAGTGGCAAGTCCCAGTACCTACACATGTTAGGGATTGCAGTAAACTCTCCATACAGAACTTACGCTTTATCGAAACCAATCCCGTGAGTGAGAACTTGAACAGTTGGATTCGTGCTATTGTCCTCCGAAGGAGTACAAAATTGGGTACTGATATTGTAAATTCCAGAAGTCGTCTTGTATCCTTCTAATACAACATCTGTAAAGTTCTGGCCCTGTTTCGTGATATTAAGCACTAAATCCGGAATATCCAGATTGTTTTGAGGAACTGCAAGATTAAAAACACCAGTTCGAGCAGAAATATCTACTGGAACTGTAAAGTTCCTACAATTCTTTGCTGCTGCAGGAGCAAGCAATAACGTTGACGCTATGAGAGAGGAGATGTACATTTTGGAAGACATGATGAAACTGAATGACCAACCTTTTTAGCAAACTTCTTACCTTTATATTCTCTACTCTGCATTAAGCTGACTGAGTTACATAGTTATCTCATCGTTCACGTAATCCAGAGGTTCTGGAATTCAGCGCCGGAGAAAGTGTTAGTTCTGAGCTTAGCACAAACGCGAGAGGGGTTCCTGCACTAGTTCATTGAGAATTTGAAATTCCCTTGACGAACAACATGGAGAACAGTATCGAGATTAACGGGTTAGACGGACTGATCCGTCGATTTTGAGCTGTATGTGGATTCTAATGCGAGGCTAGCGATGGGTAGTCAGGACGGTGAGTGTAATACTGCTTTTGGCTCGTTTCGCTCGTTAAACGACGTTATTTCCTTGGTATGGTATGAATGCCGGAGCAGGGTATAAAATGAAATAACATCCTAGGCACTCATGCACTTGATGAGTAAGTCATTTCGCTCTTGGTAGACCCGAAAATTTAATAATCGCGAACACTCGGAACGGTCGAGTGAGCTTATGGAGAAGAATCGGCATTCTACCTCGGTGAAAGGAAAGGGAAAATGGTATTTCGTGTCGCATGGATTTATACGATGTCAGCACATATGACATCAAAGAGGGCCTCTTTATTCCACAGTAAGCACAGTGGTCTCGAAGACTAGACCTTTGCCTTACCATTGCATCGGACACCTTCTCGAAGCGCATTAGATGCCCGTTGTTGATGGTTAAAGGGAGCCGATTCGTACACAGTCAGAAGGCACTCTCGCAGAACTCAGAAAGAAGCTGTTCGCCATCCATCTTTGTTTATACTTGGCGCAATTATCATTTTGATGAACAGGTCGTCGTCGTTTATGGTGTAGGAGATCGGAATACGGCGACTTTCCTTGAGGATGTTCCCCATTTTTGAGATCCCCGCTGTGATCAAAGATGGCTTCAAAACAAATGGAGCAAAGATAACGATTTGTTGTAATCAAAAGAAGCATTTTCTCATCGCCCCAGAAACTTTGCCAAGTTGAACATTTCCTTGGTTTCTCGTTGTCTCTTCAAAATCAATTACTGTATACATTGCCAAGATGGCGGCGGTCAGTCAATCAACCTCAGGTGGTCACAGCGTCTCCCCATCCATGATGGCCGAGGCTATTAAGGCTCAAGAATACCTCCAACAACGGATTAAAGCAAAGACGGCAACAAACTCATTTCGCACAATTCCAATCATCGATTTGACACGATCCTTTTCCGATTCTCTCGAAGACCGTCAATCTGTCGCAAACGAAATCCACGAAGCCTGCACCAAAGTTGGGTTCTTCTACATCACTAATCATGGCATTAGCAAGGACGCCTGCGACGCAGCGCTGAAGCTGGCTTCGCGATTCTTCCATGAATTACCTCAAGAATCAAAAGATGCGATTCATATGAAGAAATCCGATCAATTCCGTGGCTATGAACCAGCATCTTTTTCATCTGTAGTTGGGGATCCTACAGAGAAGGAAACGAAAGAAGCTTTCAATTGGGGCTATGAAGCGGGCTTGGATCCGACGGGTGGTGATGGAGCTTATGTAGAGCTTGATGGAAGTAGCAAGGGGAGTCCTAATCAATGGCCATCAGAAGATGAGATTCCTGGGTTCTACAAAGGCATTGCTGAATACTACGGCGAGGTACGTACCTTTCAACCTTGATCATCACTTCACCAGACTGATAGCTGCAGATTCTACAACTATGTCGCCACATCTGCCGACTCTTCGCTCTATCCCTGTCCCTCCCAGAAACCTACTTCGAACGACTCACCACCCACCCTGGCGGAATAGCACGTCTTATTCGTTATCCACCAAGCACGAATCCCAAACCGCTCTCAGAACTAAACACCGAAGAAGAAATCGGGCTTGGAGCACACACCGATTACGAATGTTTCACACTCCTCCTGCAAGACTCGAATCCAGGTCTCGAAGTTCTATCCCCAGACGGACACTGGATAAGTGCGCAACCAGTCGAGGGCGGTATCGTGGTCAACGTAGCAGACTTCCTAATGCGCTGGACGAATGAGAAATACAAGAGTACGGTGCATCGAGTAGTTAATCGAACGGAGAGGGAGAGATACAGTATCCCGTTGTTTTTCTCGATTAATTATGATGAGAAGGTTGAGACGTTGCCGTCTTGTGTGAGTGAGGAGAATCCGTCGAAGTTTGAGCCGATTGCGGCGGGGAGGTATGTGCTTGATAGGCTTGCTTTGACGGTGCCAGGGAAGTATTAATGGTCATTCGAGGTAAAACTACGTCTCAGAAAAGCTTTGAAGCCACTGAGTAAGTAGTTAACTTTTTTTTAGAACGTCAATTCGAAATAGTGGTTCATACATACCTTGAAATTCGGAACTTTCGAGTCTACTAATACCTACCCTAAATCTATTAGGCAATACCTAAAGCTTTTTTTTGAGATTTGCACGGTGCCTACGCACACACGGGAGATGCGACTGTTTGTATATGTTCTCCCTCACTGTGAAAAAGATAAGTGTCAGTCGAAATACGATACTTGTTCGATAAGTTGACAAAAGATAGCGTATTTAGTGGATTAATTTGGCGCCTTATTAGATATTCCGTCAATTCCTTCTAACCAATAACGCCTTCTTAAGCTCTATCCGGAGTCAACTTATTCTTTCTGAGGATTAGGGGGCAGGTGACTGACACTTATCTTGTCATCTATGAGGCTCCGCTAGTTAGCACACATGACAACCACCCAACGACAATCTCTCAGTCCCTCAATTATTCTTAATCCAAAAGGTGTTTTATATCAATACATGTCGTCACTTCTCAACGCTTATTCTGGTATTCGATTTTATCTCTTGCTATGCATTAATATCAAGCTAGTTGACTGTTAACAATGAGATGTATTGGTCTACAAGAAAAGGTTGTTTATATATTTTAGTGTCAATAACCTCTACCATTATCCTCAGATCTCAGACAGGCTCAGGGCCAGTCCGATGCGAATCATTCGAATCTCTTTGCAGTTCATTGTTGAGAGAATTAGCTTCGCAGTGCATCGCCTGACTGTTGTTAATGGGAATTTCCCAACCTCCACTCCGCGAGCCCAAAGACGCTGGCTCTGGCTCTGGCTTACAGATCATGCCATCAAGCTTTGTAATAACATCTCGCAGATCGGAAAAATCACCACTTAAATTTACACCAAACCCGAAGGAGCTAAAGGTAGGATCTGGTGAGGCAATCTTTAGACATGTCCAAAACAAGACAAGAAGAGCCGGCTGTGTTAAGATGTCAGATATTGAGCCGGCAGCAGTTTAATTGGTTGCTTACGAGCAAAAATGCCGCGAGAACACTTGTCGCATTCGATCCGCCCTCCCACCAGCTCGCGGTACTAAATCCAACCACCGTTACAAGACATCCAATAAGTCCAAGATAAGCGGGTAGAGGCTGAAAATGTGATAGATAGCCGGTGTCTAGTCCTTTTGATGAGAACTTTTCAAATTGTGTGTGAAGATCGTTTGGGTGCTTGCTTAACCTAGCATGTGTAAGTTTTGCCCCAACGTCGCTATGTTTACAACCGGAAAGAGTTGAACACGCACCATTTTCGATAGCGGATAAAGGCAAGGCACTGAGCTGACCAAACAAGAACTACAGATACCGTTGCGATACCGCTAAGTATTTCTTGGAACTGTCTTTCTTAGCACAAAATCCCGGAAGCTAGAGTTTCGATTACCCACCGATTGATCTGATCTAGCGATATGCACAGCTGGAAGCCAGCCAAAAAGAACAAAGGACGTGAGGACTGCTTTGATTGGAACATTGTTGGTATGATGCGTGGTTCCAAGTTCTGAGATCCATCTTTTCCAAAACACCGCCCTTTGCTCTACTTGAAATTCCCTAGTAAGGCCGTACAATGTTCTTGACGCCACATACAAGGCAGTATTGGCAGAGCTCAACACTGTCAATATAAGCGTGACGTTGAGAAACCCTGCGAGATGAGGGATTGCTGATTTTCTAGCGGCAATGATGAGGATAGATGCGCCCGTGGTAGTCCCGCCTGTCGCTCTTTTCGATATTGATGGAAGCAGTGGGTTCTCCCACGACACATTTAAATAAAAACCTAGGGTGCCCAGGGCGTATGTGACGAAAATGATACGCGGCACCCAATATGCTGGCCATCGAACAGCTTTTGAGTCTTTCGCTTCTAGGGCCGTAACCGCTACGATCTCGACACCAGCATAAGCATAAGTTGCAATTGGTATTCCTGCACTATTAAACTTGTGAGCTTTGTTCACACAACAAACAACGGGCCAAAATACAGAATTGCGACAAATGGAGATGTGGTAATTCTTGAATCTGCTTGGAACCCCTGACTTATGTCTACGCATTATTAGCTAAATCGTTCTTCGCATGCAAAGGAAAGTTTTGCGCTCGAACATTTGCTTCCAATCTTCGGCTCTCCTTCGAGCTCTGAGCGGTTAGCTATCTCTTTTTAGAATCGGAGAAGATTTTATCTACCTGCATTATTAATCACAAACATTGTGATAAGGGATCCGAAGACAAGAAGGAGCTTAATAGCTCCAGCTATACTTTCAATGAATCCATAAACCTGTTTATTGTTAGTGGGCTTCAAAACGCAATTTCATACTCACGTAAACACCATTGATGTTGATGAACAGTATGAGTATCGGCGACCCAATACAAAAAGCCATAGCCTGCCATATTCCAGGCCAATTCCAATATCGGCCAAGGTCGACTAGCGCCGAGAGTAACGTACCGAAGGTAATCGAGTAAGCAAGCCTAGTCAAGTCAACAAGGCAACTTCAGAAAGACTTCATCTCTACTCTGTTTGTAAGACATACCAGTAAGCAATACCAAGCACAATCCCTAACTCGTTATCTACAAAGGTCCGGACGAATTCGACCAAAGCACCTGAGATCGGCCAATGATTAATCATTTCGGCAACTCCAGCCATGAGTAATATAACCCCAATCCCAACAACGCAAATTGCCAGAAGACCTCCTCCTGGACCGGCAATGCGCAAAATCTCACCTGTGTCAACGAAAAGGCCTAAACCTATTGTGCCAGAGATTACAATGAACTACGAAGTTGTTATCAAATGCCTTGTCGCTTATATGGCGCCAGCACACTTACGAATATCTGCCAATTCTTTAGATCCTGACTGTTCACAGAAATCGTTAGCTTCAGCATTCTCAAAATCAACACACTCATAATTTACTACCTTATCTGTTTATATTGACCGATCGAGTGGACAGAACGACTGTCACTCCCATGATCTGTCTGTGGAAGCCCTAATTGGGTTTCACCATTATGGTTACGCTCCCCAAGAATACCCTTCGTGGTAGCCTCAGACTCTTGAGTCTGATTTGACAAGTCAGTCTCATGGCGCGGGGTTTGACCATAGCTTTCCTCGGAGCCAAAACTACGTAAGCTTGAAGACGGTACGTATGCTTCTTGGTCTCGCGCAGGGGACTCCATCGTTGAAAGCACTATTGCGGATATACTGCGGCCAGCTCGCGACAGTGCGCTCTTCTCCTCGAGCTGTATTGGAGCATATAACATCGTGTCTCGCGCTCTAGGGGCCGACGCATCTTTTTGTTGAGTTGAGACAAGCTATCGCGCACACCTCATTCTGAATAACAATATTGTGGCTTTTCCATGGCGTTTCATTTGCGGCTCGTTGAGAAACCGTGTTGTCACATTGGCTGCAGCCTTGCTTCCAACCACACTGATAATCCATTTTGGTGTGCCACATGGTAAGCTCTCGCCAGCCTTGTCGAAATCAGGCAAGACATAAAGAGGGATGAGCCGTCTTGATCGACAGGTTCTTCTTGATTCTGAATCCCAAAGCCTCGTCGCCGCAGTTCACTTGCCGTTCGAGAATCATAAGGCATCATGGCAGACTCGACTGGCGAAGTCAAGACGGTTGTTGGTGCTGAGCTTACGGGATATATTCACAAGCATAAATTGGCACAATTTCTGAAGGATTTATTTGGGAAGGAAATCAAGGTTTTTGTACGAAGCAGTCTTGCAACATGCGGATTTCGATTCTTAGCGGCTCTTCTAACATGATTAATAGCTCAAATCAGACCGTTTCTTCTTTTACGCTCCGCGTAAGATGGAAAAGGTGAGTCTTACTTTGATACTGATATACTTCATAACGACTTACTTCTGTGCAGGACGAGCTTGAGTAAGTCTTCTCGATCTGTCTTCAACACTGAACTCAATTAAGACAAATCTGTCTGTAGATCTATCCGGGAGTCTGGACACGTTATTCATGTATAGAGGCTGAATAGAGACGGCCCACGGCCTTTAATGCAGCAATAAACAGCGCTTGGACAGTAATTATGGTCTGAAATTCTGGAGGGAAGCTTAGCCTCTTAAAGTTGGTTGAGGTAGAACAACAAAAATACTCAAAATTATTCCGTGGCATCACCAGAATACTTCTCTATCTGCTCCACGCATCTGAAGACATTGCAATTAATGAAGCCTCTACTATACAAAATGTTGACGGGAAGCCTGAATTTCCTTATCAGAGCAGGCATACTAATTACATAACCTCTCCATTAGCAGTGGCGTTATGAGTGAAATATCACTGGATGGCGGACGGAACGCCTTGCATTCAACCCGTGCCCAAAAAGCGCACAGCACAGCCTCGCCATCTCAGACGGTCTCAGTTTTCAACATTCTCAGCTCAAACAGGAATTCAGCTACTGATCAATTTTTTGACTCTATTCTGTATATCCTCACGATGAGTGACGAAAAATCCCTCTCCGAAGGCACGAAGCGTGGTCTAGATGATGAATTTGCTTTCAACGGTTGGCGACAATATCCTGAAAACGTCATTCTTGAGCCTGCTGCTGTGAATATTCAATCTTATAAAGATAGATTATCGAGGTGCCGTTCTAGAATATTTTCTGAAGACTCCTTGGATTTGGAGGTGGCAATCACAGATTTGAGAGGTTAGTTCGTGTCCCTTTGCAAAAGCCAAAGTTAACTTTTGCAGGTGACGATCAGCGTAGAGCAGTCTCGCATGACATTTACACGGATTCTCAATGTGTAGAGAATCATTTGGAATATGAAGAAGTACCCAATACAAGAATAATGTTAAATTTACCAGGATTATTCATGCTAGCAGACTATGCTGACTTGACAGTAGATCACTACACAGCCAAACTTCGTTAGACCCCGTTAAAATTACGGAAGAATGCATGCTCAAAATTTGCACCCATTACTCCATTGGGGGAGAATTTCTAGACTTGCTTTTGGCACTGGGGAATAAGCCAAAGGACTCTGATGCTGGTCTTGGTAGGACGTCAGTGACATATCGACCAGATGGATCATATGGTAAAAACATAGACTTCATGTCGCTCAAAGGAAATTTGTTGACAGTCGCAACAGACATTTGCTATATGATGGTATACATAGAAGAAACTTCGGGAAAAAGAACAGCTTCATGGCCAGTTCGTCAGACTGTGGTATTTCACAGATTTACACCCAACTCGGACGGAAATCTCTGGATTCTGATCCATCCGATGCCAAACTCCATTTTACAACAACGATTACAGACCCTTATCTTGGGTGAAAGCAATTTTACAAACTCCTCCGGTTGCGCGAAACTACATCTTCTTGCTTTATCCTCTTATATTGAAAACTGGCGGTGGTATCTCAAAGCGTTAAGCGACGAATTTGAAGAAATTGTGAGAGATATGCGGTAGACGTAATTTGTACCGAGTGCTGATTTTTGCAGGCGGATCAGGCTCTCACGCTCGAGTTTTCGAGACCCGAAGATTATAAGGATGGTTATAAAACATTGACGCAACTGCAATATCTCCAAGAGAGGCTGTTTCCTCTCAAGGCTAGGTTTGAAACATCCCACTCTGTCGTGTGCAGCTTGATGGAACTGGCCGATAAATTCTACGCGGAGGGTCATTACGATGAGACGCTCCGTCAGGCTTTTTCGAATAATCTAAGGAACTTTGCTTCGAAGTATCAAGGACATAGCACTAGTTCGGATCTTCTTGTTTCTAGAGTATCTGGATTGATAAAATTGGTAAGATCTTTCTTTTTAAGACGTCGTGAGCTTGAGGCTATCTTCATAATTGTAGAACTTACTGATGATTTTGGCAGCTTTCTGTCACGTTGAACTTGAAGAATCAAGCAACATCTGTGGACATCAATCATAACATGCTTACCTTGACAAAAGACACTGTCGACGATAGTGCAACAGTGCGAGTTGTAACACTTGTGACCTTGATATATCTACCTGCCAGTTTTATTTCGGTATGCCCCTTCACTGACATCACGAAAAGCAATATCCTAACAACAATAGTAGTCTTTACTTGGAATGAATTTATTCTCATATACCGGCAGAAATGGAGACGGCTTTGAAATTTCAAATCAATTCTGGATATTTATCGCTCTATCCGTGCCATTAACTATCCTGACCGTAGGATCATGGTCCTATATTTCTTACAAACGCCGCAGAAACAAAGCGCTCCAAAATCTAGCGCTGAAGGAGCAACACCCAGGAGTCGAAGTGTAGAAACAACGCCGATGTATCTATGTAAGGGGTATCTTCAAAATGTACTCCGATCAAACACTATCTTTTCCGCTGCGCCATTACAATGAGTTATGAAAATATGAAATGTGTCATTCTCCTGATGTGATACCGAAATGCAATCTCCTCGTTGGAAGTGGTCTCTGAGTCTCCATTTTCTATGCTTGCCAAGAACAATACTTCCTTCTGAAGTAAATCGAAGAGGTTTGTAGTAGAGGGTTGTTTGAAGCGGGTAGTAGAGCAAGTTTTTCCGCTTTCGTTTGCTTCTAATATATATTATTCCGTCCTCCATTGGGCTGACTGTTAGCGCCCGAAGATCTTTCTTCAGACTATGCAGCTCTGTGACACTATGGGGACGGGGTATTTCTGGGACCACCATGATGGCATTAAAGTTCTTCCATAGAACTAGCGAACGTGACTCGGGAAAGCTAACGATTGAATGAATGGGAACGCCATTGTAAACATCATTGGACTATTTACGTCAGCGCTGAGTCTTGGTACAATGCTGATAACATACCAAGGGGTGATGAAAGACATAATATATTTCAGGATTCGAGACGTTCCATGTCTTAATGGAATGTTCACGACCATTGACAACAAACCAAGCGAACGCCCATGATCCTTGAGCATTGAACCAAGTTCGTTTGACTATGCATCCTGGGACCATTTCAAGTGTTCTCGGATTTCCTCTGTGAAGCTTTTAGTATCAGAAAACTTAGAGACACCAAAAAGCAGTACTTACCCTAATCGAGTAAGAATAATAGAACTCTGATCTTGGTATAATATATACCCGTCCGGAGAGATGACTCCATCTTCATAATGGGTTCCCTGTAGTGTGGCTCCATCAATGACAGTGATCCTTCTTTCGCTAAGGCTTTGAACCTCAAAAGACTTGAACTATATACGCTGATTAGTACGAGATTTTGCGGTATGAGTGATTGACTTACAGCTGTCTTGTGAGTAGAACTCAAGCGGCCTCTTGCGAGTATATGGCTACCAGCAGCAGATACAGAGACCCAGGAACTCCATCCTTCTGGCAACTCGATTGGAAGTCCCTGATGCTCATCGTCGTAGAGTGGACAGACAACCATGATTTTAAGCGATAAAAAAACTGCGTACTCATTGTTGGAGGGAATGACACACTTCAATACGTCTGAAATTCGTCCTAGCTCCAGCGGTACTCGGAAAGAGATACCGGTATCGTTAAGTCTCGAAGAGCCATCTGTGATGCTGGATCCGTTCCATGCAGAATGAAGTGACCCGTGGTAGGAATGCATAGAGTTGACCCTTGATAGAGAGGCTCTCTGTGACCGCATTGGTGTGATTGTAGAGTGAAAAGGAGTTGCTGACGGAACCATATTTGACAGAACTGGCGGGCTTGAGTTACTTGTCTTGTGAGGAGTGAGTCTAGGTTGTGTTCTTTTGTTTGGCTCGGTCAAAACGCGTTCTGGTGGAACTCCTATAGGAGTTTGTGCTTTGCCAGCCCGCTTAACATCTTGTCGACTGGCAGGCAGACTTGTCGTACTCTCGTCGTCTTCGAGGAAGAACCTCTTACTTTTGCCGCTATTGAGAGTTCGTGTATGTTTGATTGTACCTGGATGTGTTTTACGAATTTCAAAATGGGATTGTGAAGCCTGAACTAAATCATTAACACTATCGACGACGTGTTCGGTAGATCTGATTGATCTTCTTGAACCAGGAGAATCTGCAGACGTTCCAGCCGACGATCGAGAGCATGCTATAGCTGAGTGGCTTTCATGAGGCTCTTTGGTTGAATCTTTTTCACTAGAAAGAGCCCCAGGTGGGCTTGGTTGGTGCGGATATTGTTGTTCCAAAGGAGAAGAAACTGCTCTCATCTTTCCTTTGGGGTCGAGCTGTCGATTTGTGTTCCACGTTTCAGAGCATGAAATTGCCGGCTCATTGATGACTGGAATAGAGAGACTTGTAGACTCCTCTGAGCCGTCATGTTTCACGGTTGGAGGCTTGTTAGTCTCAGTGCTTGATGGTTTGACAACTGGTGGAGTAACATCTAAGTGGCTGCTCTTCGAATTATCCTCCATAGGAGGGTCTACTCTCCCTGAAGCCTCAAAGATCTGGTCCAAGCCATTATGAAGTTGAGTACTGGAAATTCGTCGCACTGGGTCGATTTCAAGAGCCGACAAAATGAGCTTTTGGCAGTTTTTCAGGTAAGTAGCGCCGCTTGTGTGGTGTGATAAATTCTGCGTCCAAGTTTTGACCCATGGATTTAGGATAACATCTCCCCGCTGGCCAATTCTATAGAACCGATCGCCATTTTGTACGTCATAGTCACTCGTCTTCCACAACTTATCGAGATCCGACTCCAAACCACTTAACTCTAGTGGGCTAATCGATAAAGCGCAGAGTAGCACCAGTATACATCCAAGGGGCCACACATCACTCTTACGGCCAACATCAAGCGGAGAAGAGTGAAATTCTGGAGCGGTCCAAGAGCCCGAATTTCTTGCTGCGTGAGTATGCGCTGTGAGGTTTCTTGGGCTCTTTCTTAAATTCCCTAGCTTTGGGATCCCCAAGTAGCCGTCCGGAGTAATATGCGTTTGTACTTGGTTTTCTTGATCATTTCCAAGTTCTTTAATCCGCGATATACCGAAGTCGGAAATTTTCCATACTCCGAGAGGATGGTCTGGATGCCGATAAATCAAGATATTCTCCGGCTTCAGATCCATGTGACAGCATAGGATTCGTCCTCTTAACTCTTTTATACTAGCCTCCGAATTGTCGCTCTTGGGTATCCACATGACTTCGTGTAAACTTCTCAAGGCGTCCGCAATACCAGTGAACTCGTTGAATAGGTGTTCCGCGCTAGGTGGATCCGTTTGGAACTGATACCATTCACCACCCAAAAACTCGCCCAGATTCATCACCCCTAGTTCGGAAAATATGTTGTATTCGACTCCAATTGAGACGATTGACAAGAATGGTACTATTCTTTCGTGGCTCAAAAGAGCGTTTTGTAATAAGAGAAGGTTTTCTTTCTCCTTTTTGAAGTTTCTTCCGCCGCCGATGAAAACTTTCCGCGCAACGGGCTTGACAATCTATATTCGTTAGTCTGACATTTCAGAAGTTCAGGAAATCTCATGACTCACCGGTTGAGCAGTTCCATCAAGCTTGTATTGAAGGAGCGCAAGTTTTTCCCTAGTCACCGTGCCAGAAGCACCAGACCCTAGCACTTCGACTTCGTTTCGTGGCAGAATAAAAGGCAATCGTCGACCGCTTGGATAATCCTTAATTCTTCGGTGCTTGATTGTGATAGGAAAAAAGGCATTCCGTCGACCTATAAACTCCCGAGCCCAAAACTGACTACCAAGATAGTCGTTTTGTCGCAGAATCTCCTCGTCGCAGATTTTGATTATCCGATCGACACGTTCGCCAGCTTTCGAGTATCGACTATCGAAGAAAATCTGAGGAAATCGCTGCCATCCGTCCCAAACAATACTAACGAGTATTGACAATGTTCTCAACAAGTCTGTCCGTAGGCGAGCGATGGTGATTGCGATTTGTGTCTCGCTGATGAATGGTTCGATCATCCGGCAAAACGATTCTAGACGTGCTAGTGTCCATATCTCGTAAAGTTGATGTTTCGTAACAAATTTCGAATTCTCGTCATTCCCTTGATGCATAGCACTGTGTATTTCTTCCCTTATGTCCCTGAAATTCTGGTCTCTCCATTCCATAATGGGCGGGCTGGTAGACTGGCGGACTCGGAAGCCCTCGTCGCCCTCGAGTTCGCTGCTGTTTCGTACCATTTCTGCACGAGAAATCGGCTCAAAGATCAAAGAAAAGCCTTCGTGTGGCTATTTGATGAGGAGCGACAGAGGATCATGGTAACGGGCTTCCAGTTTAAACTGGTGGAATTCCGTTTATTTGCGTTGTGCTCGAGACGTTCGAAAGGAGGGGTCCCACGAGCCAATCCGAGTCAACACGCTCAGATTACGACTCGACCGCAGCCGTTGAAGAGCTCTCGGGTTAGGATATAGGTATTTTGATTGGTTGCTTATCGTCTGGAATTTTGTGCGAAGAAGTCGCAAAGAAGTGATCGAGCCCAGCGGTGAGATTATCTGCTATCAGCTGTTTTGACTCGTACAGAGCCGCAACTGGAGACTTTCTATAGACTTTCGGGTTGCCTTGCCTCACAAACGTCATCCGCCTATAAGCGCACCAGATCTTATTCTGCCCTTTCCACCGCCCGCTGTTGACTTCTTATGGAATTCATGCTTCAGCCGGAGCGCCACAATCTGGGCACCCGAGCTGAGCTGAAGAGTTTGGTCATCGTAAAACTGATGAACACGAGTGTCTCGGCCAGAATGAACTTTATTGTAGGAAAAACAATAAGATATTGGAGTTGTCAAACCAAAAGACTGAGAAATTGGACGAACCTAGAGAATGGACTTTTGCTGTCCTATATAAGGTCGTGAGACTAGGCGGAAATCAAAGGCCAGCCCTAAACATTAAGTGGTGGGAGATATGAACCACGTCACCGTACTTCTTGTATGGTATTTGTAGGCATCGGAAGGAAAAAGCAGACGCCACGAAGCATGTATTGAGCGGAAACCGGGAGGCCACATTGTAATAGAGGATAACTGTGGTAACAAAACGAGGAGCGAAATCGCTCGCTCGCCTTATAATCTATGTGGAACACAACCGGAGGATTCGGTAAATAGCATGCATCAGCAGCATCAGCAGCCGTCCTGCATGAAGTAGTAAGATAGCCGTCACTTGAAGATTACTACACTGCTTTATACTGTCCTTGAACAACAATCACAGAATCCCTGAAAGACTAATCCAATTATCCTCAATCTCAAGCAGGTAGTGAGAAAGAATCAGAACTCGTGGTGTGTGTTAAAAACCCGATAGACACCTCCTTACCGTAGGACAATGACATTCTGCCTAAAGAGCCATATTTACACAATTATTCAGAGTGGATAAACAACGTTGTCTATATCGTAACACCGAAATACGTTCATCAAGGAGGGAGTATTCAAATTCTTTTTTATTGCATCATAGTCCTATCCTGTCAATCTTGCAACGTTATAGTGCCCCCTTTCCCCCCCCGTTTCCACCAAATTCTCCTACATTAAGCGAGAAAGTCGCTGCCAACATCCAGCAACCACCAGAAAGCCAGCGCAACGAAACATCAAATGCCGAATAACAAACCATTGACCGAAGGACAGACCAAACCACAGCCTACAGTTTCGCTCCTGTTCGCCTATTATATTCTAGCTTACTCACGTGTTCGAAGCCCCGTTCCAGACTCTGCAAAAGCACAACAACTTAACAAACCAACCCGCCCCCCTGCTCATTCAGCACTAAAAACCCGTCCACGCCTACACTTATAGCTTCACTCATTAAACGTCGCAGATAACTGCTACTTCCCGCGAAGAGGACCAAGACCTTAAACCCTGTAACGATTTTACAATTCCCGCGATTCTTTATGCCACGAGGAGATACCTCAACAAACCCGTCTCCAATATCGACATGTTTTCTGTTGAATTTCTCAAATACACTGGGAAAGCGATGGTACGATGTAGAAAGAAGAAGTTTTAGGCAAAAGGTTTCACGAGGATACGAGATGTTTACTTTTCTACTCTATAGCCGCCTTCTTTGCCTGTGCTAAGCATATAACGACGTTCTGATACAAGAAATACCCGATCAACAGATATCCTTTCATCATCTAACAATCTCGTAAACATTCTTTTGAATTTGATTCTCAGCTATACTAACATCTCATCCCACTCATCAAATCGGCGAACAACAACAAAGCGATAACCCGCAGCTCTCAACCCTCAACCCCCCAAACCACGCCCTCAACCCCCCCCTCCCGCACCTTAAGCTCCCAACTTGCGCTACCAGAAAAAGTACTCATCAAAAAGCGGACTTCATGCCTTCAAACCAAGATTTTACCCAGAATACAGTACTGCCAGAAGACATATAGATCAAGTACAACTCCAGGTCCCCAATGGGTGTGTGTGATGATGTTTGTTTCTCAATTATGCGAATGGTGGCGAAACTGGTTGGTATATCTTGGAACAAGGTATGAGATACACGACATCAACACACCACGCACCCGAGCATAAAACCCATCCATTCAAAACCCCACCCGCCCTTAATCCCCAGCGAGGAAGCTCACTCATACTCATCACAATAACACTCATCAACCCCCCGCAACCCCATTCCTCAAACCAAAAACTTTCCAGCTAGAACCAGCTAAAAAAGCCATGACGAACAAGACAACCACACAAAAGTTTAATAATTCGAAGCCTATATACAAAAAGCCCCCCGCTAAAAAAAGGTGACAAGATATCTGTCTATATACTAAAATTCTGGTATCTCTCTATCCAAGACCCAAACCAAACCCATATATTACACGACCCCCTAACCGAAACGCCATCTCATAGTCACACATTTCACGTAAACCTCGTCCACTTCCTCCCATAATTTCATACACAATCCCAGCATCTCATTCAATCCCCCTATCTCGCCCCTCTCATTCGCCTATTCCCAATCCTGCACAACCCTCCACTCATCCCCAACATGCAACCCTTGTTGCGGAAGATCGCAATCGCGATGTCCCCACTTCTGTCCAAACACTCTCCGTCCATGTTCGATAGTCATTTGAATGCCCGTCTCAAAACCCGCGCTATCCCTATAAAAAGGTTCTCCTTTCCCGCCCGTCGCACGCGCCTGCCACGTATTCCTGCCTCGGGAACTCGCGTGTTTCGACGCCGTGATCGCATCATACGTGTGTAAGAGGTCGAGGAACGATTGCGAGGGGGAAGGGATGGCGGTGTCTTCGTGCCAGTCGTCCTGGCGTGGTATGAGGTCTTCCTGGCGGGTTTCTAGGAGTGTGGAGTTGAGGCCATCGTGGGCAGCTTTGGCTTCACTGTCGGCGATGGCTTGGAGCTCGGCTTCGATCACGTTAGGGTCTTTGAAGGTCGGCTGGAGAGGGACTTTGAAGGGCCCAGGGCCGGAGCCGGGTTGTTGGCGGTACATGACGACGAGGTCGTCGAGGGAGGCGGCGACATCGTAGACCATGCCTACTGGTACTTCTTCGATCGAGTATCCTGAGTCGGATAGTCGGAAGTGCATGTCGCAATCAGTGGTGTAGAATGGGATGAGTGTATCCCAACCGCCTACGTCGATGAAAGTTTGGACGTTTACTAGAGCGAGACGATCGTACGAGAAGAATCGCATTGCCCACGGCTCGGTTTTGGGTAATGCGAGAGTCTTCCGAAGCGCAAGGAGGCAGTTCTGGTAGACGGAGCGGAATTTATGAGGCTCTTCGTGGTGAGGAGCAGGTTGCTCGGGAGTCGCTGGCGGATCGCGATCTTCGTACGAGGCGACTATGATGTCCATGTGTGACCAAAAATAATAATCCCACTTCTTTTGTATGCTCGTATACAAGTAGAAGTTTTGTAGTTGAGCAAATGTAAAAAGAGTTGGCGTTTGGATTACATTTACCCCAAGCATATTCAGGCGAGTATGATTTAAGAAGAAAGGATTCTGTAAAGACAAAAGTCCGTTCTTATTAGAGTCCATGACACCAGTATTCTCAATCACATAGATGTCTTCCGCAGGCCATCCGGCTGTTATATATGATACCACCACTTGTTGCAATACGCGCCAATTTCGAGTGAAACCAATAAATAGAGGGGTCTTTTCTTCGACATGAGGTTTTGGAGGAGCATTCCATGATGGAATAGGTGGCAGATCCGCTGCAGAATGCGCCGCTTGTGCGAGAGGAAAGTTCTCTTTGACTGGTGGGTATGGTACTGAGGACGTTTCCTTGTACTTTGGCTTTTTTGGCAATTCAGGTGGCGGTGATATTTTGTCGTGGACTTCCTCTATTATAGGCCTCGAAACCGAAGATATGTCTTCTCGTAAAAAGAATACAGCCACAACGAATACGGCGGATATCGAGAGGAGCAACACATGTTTATACCGGATTTGAAGCATTTTGAAGGTGGATCAAATCAGGCAGAGTGTGCTTGCTTCCTATGACGATCTGGAGTCTAGATTGGCGGAAGGGGGGTAAACCAAAGGAATGAGCGATGGGCAAACGCGCAAAAGCGTGCAATTCAAACGCAAATCGTGGAATAATTATCGCATACAGAGAATCTGATGTAAACAGAAAAATTGACAGCTGCCAAAAAATTCAAGATGGTTAGGTCCGTTCCGACCCCGTTCAGCGGGAGCTAGTATCTCTAGCCCAAGAAGTGTCAAGCTGTCGCCTGGCAGGGCAAAGGAGATTTCCATGGGTGGTGACGAATTATATCGACGCAAGAATGCGTAAATAATGTGATGCAAGGTTGAATCCTGGAGCGCCTGGCACAGACTTGATTCTTGTGCCCCTTGCTGGATTGAAGTCTTATAAGTTGTTTACCAACGCATCTTATGATGCTTTCGAAAACAGGTAATGCTTTTAGTGAGATAAACAGCTTTCAAATATTTCTTCTTTCACAAACAGTGCCATTCGCTTTCAAAGTCCATAAGTCCATACTTTCATGCTCATCCGGGTAAGTCCTTCGCTCTGACACGAGGTAATTTTGCCAATGTGGCGCAGAACCACTTTTCTATATGAACCACGTCGTATAGTACGTATAGACATAGTGTAGCATGATTTAGATGGACTCTTGTAAAGCTGCCATCGAAATAAAATTCCCATTCCACCTTCTTTGTTTTACTTGTAGAAATCTCGAGTTGACTGCCGGAAGAAACGGGTACTTGCAGCAGAGTCTAGGAGAATAAAAGTTCGAGGTGGACAGAAAGAAGAAGATGACCGCATAGCCTCCATCCTAGCTGGAACTATCCAGTCGTCGCTTTGCATCATGTACTCCGTACTCCGCCTAGTCGAAGCTCCCAGGGATGACAACCACTTAGCTGTCGCTTCCAAATAAACTTGCTAAAAACACGAGAACGTAATGCAACGCTGTCTGGAAAAAAAGAGTATTTGACGTAAAAATGGAAGAACTAGTGTTTTAGAGACGCGTTTTTGAATGTCCAAGATCAATTCGTCCAAGCAGATGTGGATCGTGCGAACGCACATCTGTGGAGTGCGATCGGCGAAGGTGCGCAACTGCCAACTCGTCGCAACAACTTTGTTGCGTGTTGAGATGGTCCAGACGCTGGCAGACAATCTGAATTCAGTCGAAATCAACACCCTCACGTCGTTGGTGTTTCATTCTGCGGGTTGATAACGACGAGATGATGCGTTGTTCGACACCGACTGGGTGGGTTGTGGTGGAAACAAGATTTCTGAACCAACATGCAGCCTGAGGCTAGAGGGCGTGACCTGGAAGAAGCAATCAGCTGACTATGGTGATCTCACGTGATCATTGAAATATTGTCTTTTCTTAGAAACCCGATGGGAGATCCGTGATACTTGAAGACTTCTAGAGATTGCTGCCAGATCTCGTATCAGTTTACATATCCCCGAAATTCTGTATATGGCTGTCACATGCAACAATCTTACCCTTCTCCAACCACCCGCGATTTCCCCATTTAAGACGTCGCAGTCAATACCCCATCTTCTTTGCATGTCGGGATTATAAACGGGAACAAACTCATCAGAAGTGGAGGTCGTCGTGAGGAATAGACGAGCCGTTGAGCTGTACTGGAATAGGTGACTTGCAGTCCCGGGGATGGTTGATGTGTTACCCGTGGTTGTGTGATGTATGATTTTCTGGAGATGATGTTCTGAGGGTCTAATTTAGAGTATCACAGCCAAAAGAGTCTAGATCTTGTTGAAGCATAGTAGTGGTGGTACTGAGCTAACAGGCTTGTCTCATCTTGGCAGGAGAACTCGTCGATGAAGACCCTGTAGCTGAATTGCAAGTTGCAGTGTCATTGTTGCTTTCGACTGGTTGTTTTTAATCTGGGAGCCGAGCAAGTATCGAATTTATACGAGCTTCCAAGTGAAATGAATCTGATATCGGAGAATTTGTAGATGAGTTGCAACTTGCATGGTACATTTTCAGTGGTTGAGGTACCTTTCACATGCAAAAGCAAACTCGCTTCACGTGGGGCTGTGGCTGGTGAGGTTACTTCTCTTTGCGCCAACAACCCCTCGATGATCCATTATTGTTCGTATGTCAAGCGGCAGAGATTGAAAAGCTTCATCTTGGAAAAGGGGTTCAACGACCGAGACCTTGCCGTCTGGGAATAGTCATGAATGAAGCCGTCGGAGCCGATATTCGCGGGTTGTCTCAACAAACAAGGTACAAAGGTACATCTGAGATAGCTTCATGTATCCTGTGTGTCTGCATTAGGGTCTTGGACTCTGTCACAGCGAGAGAGGTGTGTTAGAACAGTGAATTTGGTTTCCTGATTGTTCTTCAAATCAACCTTCATCAAAGTACCTGATATGGAAGCTTCAACTTCTAGGCAAGAATATCACATATCAAACCTATCTGACACATCCTGCTCGTAGGGACCTATAGCTCGTAGAGGTCCACGGATACCAAGTCCAAGATATCTACGGCGTAATCGGTACTGATCCCTGAGCGGTAGATAAGCGATAAGGATGAGGATCATCAGTGGCTTCTCGAACAGCACATGAATACCGGAGGCTTCTCCTGGGAAGCGTACCAAGATGTACAAGAGTATATGTCGCATTATTCTAGATTTCAAAATGAGGATATAAACAAGAATAACACATTTGCCTTGTCACCTACTTCCTTCACAAGCAGTACATTCCGTGGGAGCAGGAAAATGACCATGACGAAGCCCTCGATGGTCAATGCGTTTTCACATGCAACTCTGGCACAGCGGTGGAGGCATTCATCCTGTTCCACAAATGCCGCTAATCGAGGTGTGGCGCAACGTAAATAGCGATGGGACAACATTCCTGATATGCGTCTGCAAGCCAATATGAGTCGAATCAGCGAGCGCACAACTGCAGCAGCCATGAATTCAAGAGCTTCGAGGGGATATCCGATTCCATAATGAGTGCAGAGCAGATGAATCCATTCGCCAGCGCACCGTGAACCGGCCACACCATCTTTGTCCTCCCTCGTCATCCCAACCAGAGGAAGAGCAAGATGAGGCACAAACGGCTTCTAGACGGCCCAGATGCAGTAGACGCACATGCAAATTGACCAACCTCTACACATTGGAACTGCCAAGGTGTGGCGCACGAAGAGTCTGCCGCCAACTTTGGGAGGGGAAGGGAGTAGGGGAAGTGAACGTGAACGCCGGCCCATGATAGTCGCCATGCTATTATCCAGAGGTGAGCCAGGGGCTTCACTTAATAAAGCTCCCACACCACCCACCACCCACCTACCCCTCCGCTGCCGTTATTGACCTTCTGACCTACAACTCCCACATCACAAACAACTCATTAACACACACCAACCTGAACATCTCCCCGCATTTCAGATTTCAGACAAATCGTAAGTTATCTCTCTCAGACACGGCTATGCAAGGGACAGGAACCTAAAATCTTGTACCTTTGTACCTTACACTGCAATATTTTTAGCAAGGGAGGAAACTGACAGAAGATTCCAGCTATTCAACTATATGCCACATTTCGAGAACGATTCTACTTCTTCCAAAATGTCTCCTCAAGTCAACGGCGATTCAGCCCCTGCATCCGCTTTCCTCTCTGTAAGTTCAGCCCCGCGTCACACAGACTTCGGTCACTGATAAACCTTGTAGCACCTATACTCCTACCCAGTCATCAGCGATAGCATTACCACCTTCAAGAAGAACCCATATGGCGCTCGATCTCTCGATCTGACTACCCAGGGATATGAGAAGTTGGGAAAGCCAATTGTGTCATACCTCCAAGGACCATACGAATATGTCTCTCCATACGTCAAGAAGGCAGATAGCGTTGGCGACTCTGCCCTTTCCACTATCGACGACAAATTCCCAGTGGTCAAGAAGCCAACAGGAGAGCTATACGAGAACGCACAATCCATCATCTTCTTCCCATTGAAGAAAGGCAATGAGGGAAAGGATCACGTACTCAGCACATATCAAGGCGAGGTGAAGAAGGTCGGAGGTGACGGACTCGTTACATATGGCCAGGCAGCTCTTGGTACCAGCATCATCATGGTCCGTCAGACACTCGGATGGCTCTCAGGGTTCTTGAGCCAGAAGAAGACCGAAGCCAAGGAGGTTGCCGCTGAGAAGAGCGGTTAAGCGGAAGTGTCGATTTCTTTTACGCATCATATTAATAGTGGGAAGTCAAATGATGAGAACGATACCCCTTCCGCTCCACAATTTCTTCTTACGGTCGGCCAACAAAACACGATGGGCACTAGGGAAGGCGACATTAGACGGGGAATTTGGTTTTATCGGCTTTCGTCTCATCATGAGTGAGAGGAAAGTCAGTTTGTTGTTTGGTCTCCGACCTTGTCTCGATCTTGGTGCTTTAGCGTTGTTCTACCGTCGTCATCTTTGTTACACGATAGCATAGCGAGTCCGAAGTTATAGTCACGCTGGTCCCTATGGTGCTGCAATTGGGCTAGAAATAGCAGCTCCGGGGTGTTAGTTGACGCCTTGAAAGCTGTCACTCGTCTTACGGCATACACGCCAGATGCCCTGTATGGCGAAACAGAAGCATGTCATGAGGAGGAACGGTTTTATGTAGTTGAATAGACTTCGATTCTATCACTCTGCTTCTTTGGAATATTATGCCTTCATGATTTGACGTCATTTTGCAGCCTCCGGAACTTCCGCGCGCAGTGTGGATTGAAAATAACAGCGTTTTTTGATTATATCTCCAAACGCGTAACGGAAAATCATGAATTGACGAAGTTGGAAGATTGTTGAGCTAAGAAAGGATAATTCTGGGAATCCAGATTATCTAGACAGGTTAATATATGTAAAACGCATGTCGCAAAGGATAAGTGGTTTATGGGACAATGTCATGTGATTGACTAAATTTCCGAACGTGTTCAACTTCCCATCACTCCTCTCGTTCTTCCCACTCCATTCTTTTTCACTTCGCAGCTCACACAACTGAATAACGCATCAGCACCATCCGACTCTTATAAGGACACAGTACACGAACCTAAATATGCACTATCAGTTTATTTTTTCGCTGCCCGAAGTCGGGATGTAACCGGCGAAGGTTACACAGGTGGCTTGAATCTGGGTTTTCAGCGGTACCTTTTGATTTTGAGGTATACTTGTTCGTCTCTGTGTTGCTCGGATTTTTGCAACCCAAGACGGACGGTGGTTTTATTGTCGGCGCCGAGAATGAAGTGTCGTATCTAGTGATACATATCCTCTTCTGGAATTGACAATCGTTTCCTCTTTCTGTTCGGAGCTCGGTGAGATATGTCTACACATCTGGGTATTTCGAATATGTATCTTTTCTTGTGTAACTTGGCAGTCGTATATTGGCACCAGCTGATGATGTATGGGATGTTTGTAACGGAACAACTCCACTTCAGAGTGCTACCATCATACACTGTCCCACTGCAAGTGCAACGAATTGAATCCTTCCTCTCAGCTCCAAACTCACCAAGATGCAAAACCAACTTCCAGAAGCAAATTTGCTTCCGATCGTGATATTGCACCCCACATTTCTGTGCTTGTCCGAGCAACGCATTCCCAATGAAATCCGGGGTAATTAACATGCCAATGTCCTCGCCACGCGTGGTGTTATATAAATCGTTTTATTTCTTCTCTGGCTAATGCCAATTCCCGTCGTCAACCGTTCGTGTTTTGATAAAGCGAGATTCAGCCTGCAAAGGATATCGGCAAATACCAACTACAGCAACACAAGACAAATTTATGGCTTGTAAGGCAACAGGAAGAGGGACATAATCCGATTTTAATTAGGATATAAGGGAGAGGATTTCATCATGATGATGTAGTGTTTTCAATCTGTCCTACCTATCTTTTGGAATCGAACTCAACATGTTATTTCGATCTTTATACCTCCTCGCCATAGGGCTGAGCGGGACGCTTGCTCTACCGAATCCCCCTGTTTACCCCACATTAGCAATTCCCAGTACTGGTAAGCTTAATCAATCCTCACTAAGCATTCATTGCCAACTTATTGCTAACTTATTGCAGTTCCGAAACCCACCCCATCCAAACCATGTCTGAAAATGTTTTGCCCATTGAACGGTTTAGCCGTTTGGGACAAGGAGTTCAAGAAGTGCACCTGTCGACCACTACCAAACCCTGTTGAAAGGTTGAGAAGTGAGCTCGAACAACGGCAATTTGATGCACAGAGTTGTTTCAAACTTATCAAGTGTGCAAATGGATATGTTGCGAATTGGGATGAAAAGACGAAGAATTGTGGATGTATCCCAGATCCTTCAGTCATATGTCTTACGGCCACGGAGTGCGTTTCTGGGTCTCATCCGGTATGGAATAGCAAGAAGAAGACTTGCAGTTGTGTACCAAATTACGAGGAACCGGTAGAACCAGTAGATCCAGTTACTATCTGCCTGGCAGCAACAACATGCAGTTTCGGATCAAATCCAGTCTGGAATAGCGAAAAGAAGACTTGCACATGCGAAGCCAATACGATTGATCCAGCAACATGTCCGACAATCAAATGTTCATCCGGATTCCACCCTCTCTACCATCCAGAAACCAAGCAATGTTCCTGCGAACCAAACGTTCCGGATCCATCAACCTGTTCAAACATCCGCTGCGCATCCGGCACCACCCCTTTCTGGGTCGCAGAAACCAATACCTGTATCTGCAAAATCACAAACCCGATCCCCCCAGCCTGTCCAAAAATCAAATGTCAAGAAGGAAACCACGTCGTCTACCACCCCGAAGCCAAGACCTGCACCTGCGACATCGACTGTCCCGACCTCATGTGTCTCGTCACCACAACCCCATCCTACAACTACACAACCAACATCTGCTCCTGCGTCAAAATTCCCGGCATGGAAGGAACCCCCACCATCCCTCCCACCATCAAACAGCGCGACATCCTCCCCCCAGCAACCCCCTGCACAGACATGATGTGCGTCGACGAAAAATTCCCCAAATTCAACACCACGACGCAAACATGCGAATGTGTCTGGCAAGCGGGTCTAGAACCGAATCCCGATGGCGCACTTTGTCCGGATACGATGTGTGTCGCGGAAAAGGAACCGATTTATAATACCACGAATGGACTGTGTTATTGTGACTGGCTGCCGGATTTCTGGTATAAGAGAACTCCGAGACCTGTTACGTTGCCGGTTGAGAGTGTGGAATCGAATGAGAATCCGCCGAAACCGACTTTAAGCCCGCCAAAACCTACATGTCCCCTCATGATCTGCATCTCTGAAATGCGACCTGTGTACTCTCCTGCGGAGGGGAAATGTAAATGTGAATGGATCCCAGGATTACAGCCTTCCCCCATCTCGACGAAGACGAGGTATCCGTTGCCGTCGCCGAGTAAGACGAAATATCCGTTACCGCACCCGACGGTGGGGTGTCCGGATCTGCTTTGTATTGCGGAGAAAACTGCTGTGAGGGATCCGAGTACGGGGGCGTGTGGGTGTGTGTGGATTGAGGGGTTTGAACCGGTGAAAGAACGTGGTTTGGATGAAAGGAAGGCACCGAAAGATTTATGTGCTGGATGGGCTTGTATTGCGGAAATGATACCGACGCCTAACTTCAAAACTCAAAGCTGCAACTGCGTCTGGATCCCCGGCTTCGGCCCTACCTCAAACGAAGAGAGGACTGTGGATGAAAGAGTCGCGCCGAAAGATCTCTGCGCAAATCTCTCTTGTATCGCGGAAATGATACCTACACCGGATTATGAGAGAAGGAGTTGTGGGTGTCAGTGGCTGCCGGGATTTGGTCCGACTAGAAGGGAGAAGAGGAATGTGGAAAGGAGGGAGGCAGAGAGTGTACCAGCGTGTTTCAACGTCACCTCGAATTCCTGGCTCACATGTCCGGATCCGATGGAAAGGCCTAGGTGGGAGGGGGGACGGTGTGTTTGTGATTCTACGAGCAGTTCTACCTTACTCACAGCATCTCCACCAACTCCTACACCGCCTAACCCGACGGCGCCGGCTACATATACGATTCCGACGACGAGTAAAGTGGTAGCAACGACGAAATTACCGGGCGGAGGAGGGACAGGGGGGATGTGTAGAGGGGTTTATTGTATCAGTGAACAACATCCCGTGTTTGATCCGGAGAGGGGGAGGTGTGTTTGTGTGTGGATTGAGGGGTTTGGACCTGTGGGTAGTTAATCATTCGGTCGGTTTTCTTTTATTCGAAAGATGGGTTTTTTGGCGTTGGGGCGTGTTTGGTTAGGTGAAGGAAAGATGGGGAGGGCAAGAAGAATTGAGAGGGAAAAGGTGGAAGGGAGGATAGGGAAAAGGGGAGGAATTGGGAGGGGGAAGAGGAGAGGAATTGCGAGGGGGTCGTGGTGTTAGTATGTGTTTGTGAGGGGAATATAGTCCCAGATATCCTTCTTGTTTCGAATGTACGAAATAGGCGTCCTGATGACATCCTCCACTTTAACATTTTGCCGTCTTATGTCGGATTCAAGTATCGAAGAGAGAAGACTCACGTTCCTAAGTACAAAGCCAATACCTTGTAAACGAACGCCCGAGAGAACCAAAACGGCACGTTTATAATCACCACCTTCCCCCGCCTAGGTCTGTACACCTCGTATCCCAAAATCCATACCCCCACCGAGCACAACCAGATCTCGGACATAAATATAACTATCCCGGAGAATGGATATCTAGTTTAATTAGCTGGTAAAAGTAAATGCGAAATATGAATTTACTATATAAGATGATACTTAATATATTTCTTGATTATAATAAATAGATCCACATGTATAAAGGGTTTTCTTGTTTGGTCTCACCTATGTCACCATTCTAGAAAGAAATTTCCCATCATATTTATCACCTACCCAACTCACACCAACTCGCCAAACCCTCACATCAACACCCACCCCTCAAAAAATTCATACCACTTCACTCTCCCTTAAAACCTCCACCAATACCACTTCTCCCTCTCAACGTACTCACCGTTCACCACAACCATCACGAACCACCCAGCAAAAAAATTCATAATTATATATCTGTTTTCCAAGGCGTTGAATGATCAGAATGACCAATCCACGTCCGCCCCATTTCGATTTCTGAGAACACTTCCGTTTTAGCATGGCAGAGGGGTATTTGTCATTTTCGCAAGAGTTAGAAAGTAGCTTGTGAAAAAGGTGGGTTGATAAGGGTTTATGCATCTTAGTTGAGAGCGTAAGGGAATGAAGAGGAGTTAGGATGGTCTGTCTAGGTTAAAGAGGGGATGTTTAGAGGTGAGCGTGTATGAAATTCTCTTATAGATAACTGGCGTCTCGTTCTCATTTGCTCATTTCCTGATGGTACTGCAGAATCCTCACAAGCAATACTCGGTAAGCGCTCGCGATGGAAACTCTATTCCGTCACGACGAACAATTCCGTACTACGCCGGATCTCATATCCAAGTCATATTTGGAGATCTGACCCAAACAACACCACCCATAACAACCATATTAATGATTTCCCAATATAATTTCTATAGCCCTTTTCCTTTTCCCCTCCCTAATTCTAAACATCCAACCCCTTAACACAAAGCCAAAGCACAACAGGCACAACCACATTATCATTACCCCCCGTCAACACCGCCTCCGTCAGACTCGCCAACCCCGCCGCAACGCCCGATTTGCCAATTGTCAGAAACCAGGAATCATAATTATTCGCTGGCCACCCACCAACCCTTAGCCAGAGCTTCGCAAACATCAGCGCCGTCCACACGGCAGCTGCAAACGCAACGCTGCCTTCGATACTCTTCCCACCTCCCCAAATCCATTTATGCCGACCGTACCGCCGACCGATAAGGGATGCCGCAGCATCACCGAGCCCGACGCAAACGACGCCGCTGACCATACTTACTTCCCTGGTAGGCAGTTCCCAGCCAGCGAGATGGTCGTGGCCGGAGCGTGGCAGAGTGCCGAGGGAGAGCCAGAGTGGGATAGCGCAGCCTATGAGGAGGAAGATGTGGGAGATTACGACCGGACCTTTGAGGTCGCGGCCGTCGACGTAGGGGGTTAAGAAGTAGGCTAGGGATTTTGAGAGAGGTGGGAGTTGGGAGGCGCGGAAGAGGTCGAGGAGGAGGAAAATGGAAAGCATGAGGGCGAGGGCAAGGGCGGCAAAGGTGGGGTCGACGTAGGTTGCTGGGAGAAGCATGGCGACCATCATGAAATGGAAGACTTTTCTTCGTGTGTCAACTTCGTAGACTGCTGATAGGCGGAAGACGACTAGAAGACCGACGATGATGATACCTATCCAGTAAGCGCATAGGATGAGACGAGTGTTGGCGTCACCAAATGAGGTTTTGCGTAGATGTTCAACCCATCCGGATTGACAGTATTCTTGGTCGTCAAATGCGTTGCGCCTTGGTAAGATGATCCATCGTTGGAGGTTTGCTGTCATAACCTCCATCCTAAACCAAGGGATATCACCAAAAAGGTAGCCTAACGCCCAACCGATGGGTTCGTGTGAGTTTAAAGCAAAACTTGTAACGTACTCTCTTACGCCGCCGAGAATGATGACAAGAATGCAAAGATAGACCCAGGCAGCGTACAGCCACTTTCGTACCGTTGCTTGAGTTTGAGTCAAAGAGAAGAATGATTGGATGCTGGTAGACGCTGATCTTTTCTTGCGACCAGATGGAGTTCTTTTGCTCGATCGCTCTGGGAGATTGACTATGTGAGGAACGGTATGCCTGCGCTGGATACCAGACATTGATTCATCGAAATTGACCTTGTTATCTTTGAAGGAATTCCCCATAGAAGGATCAATCGCAGACATTGATCCATTTTCGCCGGATGCCCTGGACATTGATATTGTATCTCGCGTCTTCAGGTCAAGCTGCGGCTTCCCGCGTGAAGTAGTCTTCCAAGTCTCCACTGCCTCGTCATCTGACGATTCGCTCGACACTATCGATGAACTTCGATTTGGGAGAAAGTTCTTATTTCCTCCAAATAACATTCTAAGTAAAGATGGTCCTTTCCGCTTGGTGCCGATGCTGGCGCGCCTGAAGCGCCACTTCGGCACTCGTGCCAACGTAACTCCCCAATGAAGCACATGTGTGCAAGTAATCAAAATACCAATTCCGCATCCCCAGAGAACCGATTTCAAAATGACTGCTTGTGGGGAAACAGCTAAAAGAAGCAGCTCAATCAATGAAATCGATAGCAATTGCAGCTCTGCTGGAAGCAGGCTTGTTGTGGTGAGATACTGCAGCGTATCGCACAGCGACGAGTGCAGGGGTTGCAATAAAGCCAGGATTTCTGCGTCAAATCTGAGAGAATTTGAAATAGGGGATTCGAAAACTTTGAGAGCATCACCACTTTTAGGCATCATCAATGGCAAGCATGAGAGGAGCCAGTGACATAGATTTCCTCCCTCAATGCCACCAGTTGAAGGTATCAGCTCTTTTGGCAAAGAGCATATCGCCAACATTATACTAGGTAGAAGTCCAGCCGGATTACTCGCTGAAGTAAGTAATGATACAAGCATTGTGATGATTGGTGGGTATAGGAGCGGAGCGGGATCAAATGTCGCAGGAATTGCGATCGCAAAGGGTGGTTCCCATGGTCTCGATGGTTTTATGTGACGCATAACTCGCAAAGGGTATACTGTAATCAAGGAGAAGATCATAGAAAGTTGGCATGCCAATTCTAAACCCCCCGTCAGCGTCAAATTCGCAGCAATCAAGGATATGCTCTAATTTACCTCTCCTCCATAACCATATCAGTTGTCGCACATCCGAATGAATACACAGTAGAACTGCAACAAATCCAAGGATACCCGTCTCGGACACTCTTCTAATTATTTCAATTCTTCGTTTGCGCCGGAGCTTCTCAGCTGCTTTTCTAACTGCCTCTACTTTCGCCCCAGATGTGAACGATGTTGCATATCTTGACCCGTATTCGAGTAGCTTATTCGAATCTGTTTCTAGTATAGCTGGAGATGGTAAGGGGCTTGGTGAAACAGAGAAAGTCCCATCCAACCCTCTCAGCCCTTTATGCGGCCTGCTCTTGGGCGCCGGCAGCCCTTTTAAGAAGTGTTCATCATCCGCCTCTGTGCCACTGTCACTCGCAGTTGATTCGGAGTAGCCGACTAGCGGAGAGTGTGTATGTTCTAGCTCTTCATCGTCCGTATTATGTTTCGAATGGAGGGGTGATTTTTTGACCGGCGCATACTCGAGGCGCTCCGAGGCATGTTGTATTTCAAACCGCTGTCGGTGGTATGGGTGAGGTGATCGGGAGAGGCGTCTGAGTGCTTCATCTCTGAGATTTCTGGCATGCGATGGCTGTGAGGGCTGTGGCAGTATTGGTTTGAGGTTCTCCGGCATTGCGAGCTGGTGCCGTGGGGTTTGGGGATAGATGAGGACGGTGGCCTAGCTCAATCATTGCTATAGTTGAATTATCGCGCATGAAAATAGCTGCCCAGAGGTCCTCAAGGTGAAGTTGTCTTAAACTGAGATCGGATATGCAGCCTATTCGTGCGTGAATCGGCCATTGCGTTCTCACATGCAAATTGTTGAGGAGTTGAGAATACGAAGTACTTGTCAATCGGAGACTCGAGAATCCAAAGAGCTGCAATCGGGGGAACCTTAATCCGGATGACAACATGCCCATTCTCGGTGGAAGACAAAATCCAAAACACAAATTTTGAATGATAACTTCAGATAACATTGTACTTAAACACGTTTCAGCAATTAATTGAACAAAACCACACCTTTTCCACTCTATTCCAAGGAAAATGCACCTTCAAAAATTGATAAAAAAAATGTGCGATATTACGTCAACTTTTTTCACTTCTCTATTCCGACAAAGCATTTTGTGTAGCGTATAGTCCTATGGGACCATCCGACAAATAACATACACGAGCTTGCTAAGAAAGTTAGTGGAAATAATGGAGTTCACTCTTCGAAAATATCCGCGATAAACGACCTCGGAAGTGCCTCATCAAGATAGAGGAGTTAGGTAAATTATATTTCGACTGCTAGTTAACTTGCCCACCGCGAGCCCGTCCTTTTGCAGAAGAAACAGAAAACTTCAATGAAGAAGCACACTGAACCGCACCTGAAACCAGCAAAAGCTGACTGCACCACCACCGTTGTGGTCTGCTGTCCTAGTCCTGTATAGGGATTTCTCTACATTTTCTTTGCTGGGAATCGCTTGATGTTGTATTGATTGCAGTCCGCTCGAAAGCGAAGTGAGAGAGCGACCTATTTAGTTGCTTAATTGAAATGGGTTGAAGAAGATATGTCTTGGAAACAGTTGAAGTAGACCAGCTATTTAAACGCGAATGTAAATTCGCTTGGTATGAAAAACATCGCTCCCTTGATATATTATTCCCACTAGGTACAAAGTTTCAAACTCTGGTGATAAGAAGATCACTTCTGTAATCTCGCCTACCGCTCCATACGCGCTTAAGTTGACGGGTCAACAGAAATACCTGTCGCAAACCACCTGTCGTGGGGGCGTACAGATTGAAGCGATGATTTGTTCGGTGAGCCAGTTCTGGAACCTCATCAACCTCATCTTCGCTGAATCGGAAACCCTTTCTGCCATTCAAATTGGCATTCAACCCCTTGTTAATCGTAATCAAATTCAATAGAGGGGGATCTTTTCCCGGGGTCGTGCATCGTTCGAATAGAGACTTGATCACAAGCTTTCGCGAATGAGGTGGAACGTGAAATCGACGATTCCAATCTAATGGACTTTGGACTTGGGTAATTTTTCTGATAGGCTGATAGCCGTCGATGCTTGGAAGTGGCTGACCATGTTTTAGAAGCAGTTTCTACTCCTATACCTCTCCTAGAAGCCAAGGGTCTTCTAACAGCTCGGAAGCTGAAGCCCTGGATTCTGGCGTCCACCTGATCATTTTACGCATAAATTCGATGAAGGCTTTCTTGTTGGAAATGTTGATATTCTCCGCGAAGTCCTCCCAAGATACTGATGGAACAGGATTTACACACTTCCAGTCACCTGTCGAATGCATATTAGATTGCAGACACACATTATGCGATCAAGTACTTACCTTTTTCATTGAAGTGAACAGAGGAGAACTCGCTTCGCTGAAGAAATTCCAAGGGAGGAGGTCCTAATAGACCCACTATACTCGCAAGATGGAAGCGACTCTCGTAGTTTGCAGTCTTGGGATCGAGCACATCGAATAACCGTTTATTTTCGATCATGTCCCAGACCTAGAAGCTCTCATCAGTGTCGTGACATTTTTCACATGCCTGAATTCTCGCACCATGACTCCGACGTTCCATATGTCCACAGCATAGCCCCATGGCATCTCTAGAATGACTTCAGGGGCGCGATAAGGATCCGGTTGGATATCATGAGAGTGCTCGGTGGCCCCGTTCCGGGCTAGGGAGAGTCACATAGAATCGGACGGCCAAACTTCTTTGGAATACCGAAGAGCGCGGTTCTGTAGAGGTTGTACCCGTTGACACTTTTATAAAAGCTGGACGTTGCAATCTCTTCAGTGTCTAGTTGCTCTAAGATCGACGAATCAACCAGACCCAGCAAGATATTCTCTTCTTTTATATCTTGGTCACGTCAACATATACTGATGCAGAGAACGAGGAACTATCTGACCTGTATGGATAATATGGCACTTGCTGTGCAAGAAATCTAATGCGAGCAGCAGATGTACCAAGAACTGCTTGAGCAACAATTCTGGTAGTTTACGATCTGGGCTCAATTGCCGGAGGCTCAGTATGTCGTTGGAAAGGACTTCGTGAACTAAACATTGATGGATATTTCCCGCTCTGCTTGCGACAAGAAAAGAATCCTGAATGGTGCGAATGTACAGCTTGCCTGGATGATCAGGGTTTCCCGTAGTGCTGAGATGTTTGTAGATGCTGAGATGTTTGTAGATGCTGAGATGTTTGTAGATGGCAGTTTCATTTTGAATCTCATCCTCTGCAACTAGTTCATGGGCATAGATTTTCAGTGCTGCATATTTGTGCGTGCTAGTATATTCAGTCAATGCTGACTTTAGGCCCCTTCGAGTTTTACTCACATCAAGTCACGACAACACCATATCGTGCTTGCCGATCCGAAGCCAAGTTTTGCCACGACTTTATACTTTTCATTGATGACCTCGCCCAATGTCACCGGGTAGAATTTTTCGAAGCCAGCCTCCCTCTCTTCTTCAAACGGAGTGGTCGAGGATGACATGGAGCGCAACGTAACGCCGGAGGCACGAGACAAGAATGAGGATGGTATAAGGCGAGATCTATCCAACAAATGACTTTGCAGCCGGAAAAGCAGAGAAGGACGAGAAAACATGGAAACTGAAGATTCCTAACCTGGGGATAAAGAATATCAAATGTAGATGGGTCAATAAATGTGCAGCTATGAGACAATTTACGCGCGCGCTCCAGCCAATGAGGTGCCGTGCAGTGAAGGAACTCATTTGCGCAAGATCAAGAAAGTAACTAATCAACTGTAATTATAATTGTTATAAGGGGTAATTATACTTAATTATAAATGAAAACTTTTAGTTATTATTTGTCTTATCGAATAATACTATAGTCATAACTACAATCACTAAATTTTGATGTATTTATTAATCACGAATAATTATAATTAATCATTATTTACTATTTATTGAGCAGCCCTGGGTGTTAACGTCGGACTTGATTTAGTCCCCAATTCAAAGTCTAGTAAATTGAAGTTCCAATAAATATCAACATCATACAGGCTCCGAAAGTCCACTTGGCACAGGCTCTTGGGAAAAGTAATAGTTGTGCAATGAAAAGGCAGAACAGAATGTGACATACTTTTTACAACAATGCAACCACAGCGGTGACAGCACCTGAGCACCGCTGTTAGATCAGATCAGTAGAGACTAGCTTGGACATCTGCTTTCCTCCAAATCTCTCAACTTGCTTTTCTCATTCCTAAATGCACCTTTGCAAAACTACTATCAACTTTTGGTCGGCGTCACAGCATTCATCGTCGGACTCGGCCCAAACCCAGGCTGCCAACTAGTCGGGAAACCCCCCGGAAACAACCCATCAAACCCCTGTAACTTCGGGTTATCCGTCTTCATCTTCCCACCCCCCTTTAAATTCTCCGCCACAGCCATAATCCCCCGATACAACTTCGGATTAACCCCAAAAGAAAACCACGCAAAAATCCCGTCCTTCAAATCACTCCCCAGCAGCACATACTCAAAGAACGGATCCGCGGTCGCGGCTTCTTGCAGAAGAATATCATCTTTAGCGTTTTTGGTTCCGGTTTGTTTGTTCGTGTTGTAAGGCGCGGTTTTCTCGACTTTGTCGATGAGATCTTGGTCGAAGAATGCTTGGCCGTTGTGCGTGACTTTTGTGTTGAAGACTGTGTTGTTGGCTTCTGCTTTGGCGTTTAGGTGCGTGATGACGTGGATGTGAGTCGCTCGCCCTGTGTAGTGGCCTGGGAAGATTGTTTGGAATTGAACGACGCCGTCGTCATCTGTTTTTTGAATACCGCGGAGGAATTGCTTGTTGAGGTTGGCTTTGTCGCCCATTCCGGAGCCGTTGGGAATGGCGAGAGCTCCGCTGTAGACACCTGTTGTATTGGCAGCTAGACGAATGATTTATAAGTTAGTCTGGAGAATCAACACAGTGGCGTATGGAGTATAGATTGGGATTATGGAAGAAAGAGGGTTCACTAACACCACATCTCAAGGAACGTGCCGTTGAGGGGTAGACATGTGTTCACATCAATAACCTGGATATCTAAGTGAAGCGGTACTCCCAATTGCCCATCAACAAGATTGGTGCGAATAGATTCGCCAGTCACATCTATCCAGGTTCGTCAGTAAATCACACACCGATGAGACGAGGGTCACTTACAGAACGGCCCTTCAGTCGTCTCAGGGCTCAAAACGCATGATTTATTTCCAGCAAAGACAACAGATGGAGCTGTTGAGGCGGTATAAGGCTTATCAGATTTATGAGGTGTGTTGACAGAGGAAACTTGACGTCCTAAAATGGTTCTTTAGCTTTTTCTCGTCTCGTTATATCACGCAGATATCAGCTGCCATACTCTGTAGTCTCCGCTCAGCTAGGAGGTGATCAATGAGTGCCTCACGCCTTTCAATCGCTCGCTGATAAAGCCCGGAATCTTTGTTTATAGATCCGCAGTGGTTTAGGTTGTTCGTATGACTGGCAAGAAACTCTCTACGGGCCTCGAGATTGCCATGGCCATAAGCTGTTGCCACGAACGCTCCTAAAAGCAAAGGACAATGTAGGCGCATATTTTATTGAACTGGATATGAAAATGAAAGAACGGGAAATGTGTGGTCAACAGATCAATCCACTGTCTGAAAGACAACCAAGTCTGTGAAGGAAGAAGTGTCGAAACTTCCTCCATAATTGATGACAACACGACCAAGTTATAAAGTGCATACTACACACAGGTAGAGTGTTACTACCAACCTACTAAACATTAGGATCGCATTAAGCCTACAGGCAAAAACCCAATACCGGTAGCAGTGTATCATCGACTATGATACCCTGCTACCGAAATAATTGCCGGGAAGTTACAATGTAGGAAAATACCCCTAACTATAAATGCAATAAACCAAAACGGGGCTTGACCAGCGCATTTGCGAATATGCAAAACAAAAGCAAAATGATCATTATTTTGATTCTTCAACTAATAAGTCTCGTGGAGTATGTGCCAAGATCTGCAAATGAACAACCCGCTCTCCGGTAAAAGATGATTGGCGCGCCAATAAGGAATTGCGAATTAGTGGTTAGATAAAGTACTCTGCATCTACTCATTGCATTGCGGACGGCAGATAATGTTTACCCAGGGGCAGAAGGGAGTGGCGCAGAAAGTTGACTCGGACGTGGTTGCGGAAAGAAGAGTGTTGGAAACAGGTAGCGAGGATTGGACTCGTTGAAGATTGCCAACTAGCAGATCTCCGTCGTCTTGGGGCAGAAAAGCGAAGTTGCTAAACTCCTGAACTACTGCATTGAGACTTGAGCCTTGTTAACGTTGCGCTGCTTCAAAAAACGTTCCTACTTTTCAGTACAACATAGGACATAGACCTACATTGCAGCCATACCATACCGCCTTATCATTCCCACCGCATATACTGTTAACAGCCGTTAATATAAATCTTGATCGTCGGGAACAGATTGAGATTCTCGACAGATGGCTGACATGGTGGGCAACATAATGAAGCAATACCGTTCAGGCTGAGTCATTGTTGCACGTAACGACCCATCTAGCGTGATGCACATAAATGACCAACAATCAATAACTGTTTTGGGAGGGCGAAGATTATGCACGGACGCTCGAGCTGGCTTGGTGTGATATAAGCTTTAGTTCCTTAGTCTTAAGAGGCACTTCGATGCTTGGATATCTCCACCAAAGTAACATTGAAACCTTCGTATCCTACCATCATGGGTAATCTAATCCGATTACTGCTAGTAGTGCTGGCTTGTTTGCATGTTGAAGCAACGCTTGCACATCGTGCAGGTTCGAACTGTACCACAATTTCCAAAAGACGAGAATGGTAAGTGCAAAAACCCAAGCGAAAGACCATACCAAAAGCATTTAAGAACTGACATTTCCGTAGGGCGAATATGGCAGATGCCGATAAGAAGGCCTATATCGCTGCAGAGCAATGTCTTTTCAAATCACCCCAAAAACTCAATAAGATGCCTGGCGCAAAGACTCGTTGGGACGAATTCGTGTCTCTACATCAAATCCATGCTCTTCAAATCCATAGCACTGGACAATTCCTGCCATACCATCGGTACTTCCTCAACGTTCATCAAGCTTTGCTAGCTGAATGTGGGTACACTGGCGGTCTTCCGTACGTTTAACTCCTTATTCTAGCCTCCCGAAACAGCAGCTAACTCGAATTTACAAAGATGGTGGGACGAAACCAAAGACGCCGGAAAATTCTCCAAAGCCAAAGTTTTCGACAAAATCCTCGGATTCGGTGGGAGCGGTCAAGGCTCGAAAAACTGCGTAGCCGATGGACCATATGCCAATTTACAGGTCAACATTGGTCAAGGCTTTCAGACAAATCCTCGCTGCGTCAATCGCAAGTTGACTGACAGTTTGAGCTCTAGCTGTAGTGCGAAGGACGTGGCTACTGCCATAAGTGGTAAAGATTATGATGCTGCTTGGCTTGCTATCTACATGGGACCTCATTTGTATGGTCATATGGCATTAGCAATGATGGTGTGTATAGTTCGTTTCTGCAGGAACTTACGATTTGTGTGAAGCACAAAATGAAGCTAACGAGCATGTTAAAAGGATGGAGATTCAATCACCTCGTCCGGCGATCCTCTCTTCATGATGCATCACGGCTTCGTCGACAAGATGTGGTGGGATTGGCAAAGCAAAGATCTCGCAAAACGACTAACCGACATGGGCGGTCCTAACGCTCAAGATCCCGCCGTAGGTTTCATCGAGTTTGGTGGAGGTACCGAGTCGCAATCCAAGATGTGGGGAAAACCAACTGCTGCCATGCTGGCTGTTACTCCAGACCCTACTGCTGGCGATAATGGTAATATCACCACCTTAAACCATGTGCTTTCGTCTCTGGGAATCATTCCAGATGCAACTGTCAGAGATGTCATGGATATCAAGGGCGGGTATCTGTGTTATGAATATGTTTGAGCTGGAGGTTAGCTTCTCTATAGGCTTGCCGGTAGGGTGACAAGAAAATACATTACCTGGTTTTTATTTAACCAATGGCTTTGATAAATTGGATAACCGAAATGGAACAGCATGAAGCTTTGTGTGAGATTTAGATGCTTCTCACCCGGAAGATTGCCAAATATACAAGCACCACTGTGAAAACGTGCAGACTGGATGAACAACCAATCATAAAGGCTTCTCACCTTATATCTCTAAACATCTGTCCTACTACGCCACTTGAAACTCCGGAAGGGTACCAATATCCATAATCAAACAAAGAGACATCGCAGTCTATAACGCTACCTACCTAGCCATCTATGACGACACACTCATCTCTATATCCGTATAAACCTCTCGTGGCACCATACTTCCGAAACACAATTCCTGAGAGATCCCATAGATAGACACCATGAGCAGGGCATCGGAGATGTAAACCGCCCACTCATTATATAGCAAGTACCCACTTCCTCTACTCCAATTATTAGCTTGTAATTATTAACTCAGAATATCACCTCTGAATGCATACCTCCGGCCGGCATATTCAATCACATTAAACAGATTCCGTATCGTAATCAACGCACTAACCACATACAACATCCCCAACACCCTCTGCCAACTAACCATCGCCGGTCGCTTACTAGTTGGTCTCGCTCTCAATTTTGTGTAATAGACTACAGCCACGACGAAAAATCCCATAAAAATCATGATCTGCAGGATTAGTCCCGCGAGAGTTATATTTTGTCCAAAATCCCGTCGGCTCTTGTCATTATCTGCACCTACAAGAATCCCTCCGCCCCTCCTTGAAATGATATCCCAAGAAGTGAAAGCTTATCACCACCAGAAGGGTATGACCTTCATCTTTCAAAACAGAAGAAGGTGCGGTCCACCCTTATATCTCGTCCCCCACCCAGAGTTCCAAGCCGGATAATGGGTAAAGGCTGCGCTCCGGAGAAAGAGTACTCGTATGTCCATGATATTAACGTGCCCAGAAAAGGAGTGAAATTACAGCAGATTGGTGCTGGAATATTTGGTCAGTACTTTCTCATGACTTTATTAAGAATTTCGCCTAAGGTCATCGGGTAAAATCCTCCTTCTCCCCCCCTCTTCATCAAACGGGGTGGACGAGGATGACGCGAAACGCGATGTAAAGCGGCGCGCACGACACGCCTTCAATGAATTGAGGCAAACTCTCTATAAAGCTCTCAAGTGCGTGCCCGCAAGAATTCTTGAGGATGAGAAAATATGGGAATGAATATCTCTGGTTGCAGAGAAGTAAGGGCTAGGCTGTACTCGGTTACCTTGACAACTGCTGCATACCGTTGAAAAGATTACTACTACCCCGGAGTTGAATTTACCTCAACGCACAGGTATTTTCTCCTGGTTTTTGCTCTTAATTTCATATTGTATTCTACTTTATGGTGGTCATGTAACCACGAGTTCAGATATATGGGAGTAAATAGATGTCACCAAAAGTTGATTAGATATCGTCGTCGACTCAACCAAATTTTTAGTGACATTATTAGATATCTACGTCACTTGTTCGCATGGAACGTATGTAACACTTTTGGGCGCTCTAAACTAGGTGAACGATTTGAGCTTTCTTTTTTGAAGCATTCACGTACTATTTTCAGCGGCTTCAGGTCTGGTTTATCTATTTATAAAAAAGAAAATTTGGATATTTGCAGAGTTTAATATACATGAAAATTGGACCTTGTTTCTTTTTCTCTTTTTTTCTTTTTCAAAGCCTATTGATGTAAGTTGTTTTGTGTTAGTAGTTTTGATTTCGATTGAGATTTGGCCTAGTGAGAAGGACGATATCGTAGTACCAGAACAAGTCCACATATATTGTAATCCGCATCAAGCAATAGGGGTAGTATCTTGCTGTTCATCAACGACTGCGTTGCCTCTATCTTCGTAGTAGCCAGCTACTTCAGGAAGACATAGCACTTCTCGGATAATGACCACAAGAACAGATACATCGTTGCGTTCAGGAACTATGATCCATGCCTTGAGCAAACTGCTTAAGATGATCGAATCCATTGATTGTGCAAGGTTGACAAAGCCACGACACAAAAGAACCCAGTTTATAGCTTCTTCAACATCCAAAGTTCCGCGATGTTGTCTGAAGACGATGTTTTGGCTCCCAGCTTGTACTAATTTTGGAAGCTGAGCTTTCTTAACATCAGCCTTCTGCGCATGTACCTTCTCAGAATCATCGTCATCCGGACAGCCATCATCTGAACTATCGTCCTCGGAACTACCAGCATAAGTATAACAGTCAAAGCCGTAATGCCGTGTATCGAAAATGTAGGCAGAGCTATCATCTATGCGGAGTAATTTGCCTAATTCGGACAAGTAATTACACTTCATAATCTCCTCTAAAGCTTTGAGAGGATCTCCGAGAATTGTCGAAGTATTCTTGGATCGACGAAGGCCCGCAGAACCGTACTTTTCTATGAGATGTAATTCTCTATGGGCTCGTTCGATATGTGGCTCAAAGGTCCACAAAATAGCCATAAGATTTCGCATAACCGGAAATTTGAGGATAGTATCGTCACTGATAATGTTCACCCTTAAGAAACAACGGTCACTGATGGAAGTGTGACCGTTTTTGGCGACAGCGTTGTAGACGTTGCGCACCTGATCGAAGGCTTGATAACTGAAGTTGAGTTCTGGTGAGGTGACTTTCACATCATAGCGTTTGATTCTTGCACCACGCAAGCACTCTACTTCAACCTGTTCACCTCCGATTACACTCCAAGTATCGAAAGCTTTGAAGCGAAGGTCTCTTTCAAGGAATGGCTTCTTGGGTGTGTGGGGAGAAATAACGTGACTAACGTGCTGTCGGACGATGGCTCTGGAATTTTCGTTGTCGTTTTTCATCAGGTACAAAAGATCACCGAATTCCAGCTCCTTGCCATCGATAGGAAAGCTATAGAGCTGAATTAAGTCGAGCTCGAGACTGATTCTCAGCGGGGGTTGTTTGTTGACAAGAGACTTTCCCACTTTGGCGGTATTTGTAACTTTCACAGCTTGGTTAAGAAGGTTTGCGTCCGACATTGTCGTTTTGATGTCTCTGATATCCTGATTTAAAAGATGTGTATTTTTGGTTCCAAAGTTGCAGGGTCGATGTGTGAACCTATGTGTCAAGATTTGTTGTTTTAAACTAGATGGATGCTTTGACAAGATTTCTTTATACTCTTGATATGGGATTCATCTAGGGGCATCAGATTTAGAACAGTCAAAAAGAACAGGAAATCAACAATTACGGAATACTTTTAAGAAATTGTTCTGACTCACTAAATAATACCCGGGATTTTCATAGATAAATATAAAATCGGGGAAAATAGGCCTGTCATAAAACCGCATGTAGTCAAGTAACGCTATGTGAATAGTGCTCTCGTATATCACATTCACACAGGTAACATCTCACAGAAGTGAGCAAGTTGAACACGTCTCGCAGCTCTACACTCACAGAGTGGCGGTGAGAATTCATAAGAAAATGGGGATGCTAGTCATTATATTACTGAAACCATTTTGAGTACGTAGTCTTTTAAAGAGTTAAAGAACATCTCTACAACTTTTCATGTAATCTACATGCAAGTCCATGATACATCATTGCCAACCGCGATCAATCTGCTCAAGTTCATCACCCTCGTCCACTACTTTGCCTTTGACTGCATAATAGTTGGCGACTTCGGGGAGGTGGAGTACTTTTCGAACAATTCGCACTAGAATAAATAAATCCTTACCCACGGGAACCTTGATCCAAGTTCTCAGTAAATTGCCTAAAACCTTCAGATCCATCGCTTGCGCAAGTCTGACGAGATCAGCACAGACAAAAAGCCAGTTGAGAACCTCTTGATGATCGAAGGTCGCGCTATGCTGTCTGAACTCGAAGGTCTTTCCCGGATCAAGTTGTTCATAGTTCTCATCGTACTGAATACCGGAACTATCATCTTTGGTGCCCGGCAACTCTTGAAACATCTTAAAGGTAGAATATGCACACCGCTCTTCCTTTATTCGCACAATGCGATCCAGATCATCCATATCATTACACTGCAGAATCGCTTCTAACCCCTTTGTGGGATCTTGGGCATACTCTGGTACTGCGTCGTCTCGGCCAAAGGGAATGCAGCGCCAAGCCTCTTTTGATGGGAGCTTTTGATGGAGCCGTTTAATATGCGGTCCGAAGGTCCAGAGAATAGCAGAAAGCTTTTGCAATACTGAATAATTCAAAGATATGTTGTCGTTGTTGCCGATGTGTACATGAAGATTACAAGTCAGGTTGATCTCAATCCGACACTTGCTAACAACCGCCTCACATACTTCGCGGATTTGTTTATATCTGTTTTCGTCGAACCTCGATTCAGGTGAAACAAGCTCAACAGAGTAGCGTTTGCTTCCCGAAAATTTATTTTCACAGACTCTGCTCTGAATCTCAACATCATCTGTGACATTCCATGTTCCTATCTCTATGCCATACAACTTGTGATAACCAACAACATGTGGCTCTCTTTTAGCGGCACTGAGAATAACATGGCGGATGTACTCTCTGACGGTATCTCTAGCCTCTTGTGTGTTGTGCTTCAAAATCAAGAAACCACTTTCACCATCTCTGAGCTCGTTCCCATCGACCTTAAGAACAAATTTAAATTCGAGACCAAAAGTCAATGGCTGTTTCTTTTCGCCATCTACTTGTTTCTCAAGAGCTTCCTTCACATTTGCTTTTTCTGCAGCTTTAACAGCTGCTAGTTCAAGAGCGGTGTGCTTTATTTTAGGCATGCTTGTTTTGAAAACGCTTAATCTATGATTGAAGATTTAAACAAAAATCTGGGTTAACTATTCGACGAATGATGGGTTTCCAAGAGATGTTGTGTGTTAAACTGAGATTGAAGTGGCCAAATGGGGAATTTATACTATTTCTAACGATGATACTGGGAGTAATAGACTTTGAGGAGGTGAATAATAAAGTTCTGTTAACACTCATATCTTTTCAACGAAGGATCTGAACTCTTCTAACAAAGAAGCATCTGAGAAATCGCTTTCTAAGTCTGGTATTTTGTTCTATGAGTGGGCTGTCAACAGGCAAATTGATGAGAGAAAGCTAGTTGACCACACCTAGATATGAGTGAGTTACTTTTCGACTCTCACCTTTATCATAATAACGATGTAACACTCAGCCACACCTATAATTATACTGGGTTTTCTCTCTACATTTGTTCGTTCTTGAGAGAGCATAAAGAACACATCATGAACTTTTACCACACTCATCAGTCTTTGAAATCGCTGAAGTCATTCTGTGACGCTTAATTAGCATGAGCCAAAAGAGATCAGCCTTTTCTTTTATGAGAAAACTTATTATTTGGTCCATTCAGCTTCCGGGAAATCTTAACATAATCCGACAGAGTCGTAGGAACAATGCCCCCTGTCAAAATTTATGACAGATATCTAGTGATCCATCAGCTATTCAAAGTACCAAGAGTGCCTTCCGAAAAAAAAAGCATTTTCTGAACAGAACGAAATTGCACTCCTGCTGGGATTGTACCTGATTGCATAGCAAAGTCAACTTGATTCGCTTACCGGACGAGGAAACACACCTGCAAACCCTCATGCTGTCAGACACGGTACCAACCAATATTTTCGAAAGAGATGTTGGTTAGCCAACTCGGCACTTCTCCCGGGTAATTCGAAATTTCTTGTTCAGGTAATCGGGCAGGCTCGAGAGGATTTAGCATCTATCAATAATGACAAATTATTCCATGTGAGTTATGTGTTCTTCAGTTTAAGATATGTCATTTTCTCTAGTCGACTTTCCTTCTCATATCCAAAAATGAGACCTTCAAAAGCAATCACTTTTGCCCCAATGCTCGCATGCTTTAGCCACATGCATACACGGCATACCAACAACAAGGATATCTATTTGTTGGAATCCTCCACGCTTGATCGCCATATAAGATCAGCATTAGCTGCCTCTCCAGATTTTCGATATTCTGTTCATATAATTTCAGTATTACGCAACATGGCTTCCTTATCGGATTCGCTTTTAGAACTCTTAGTTATTTCTACGACCTTTGTAGTCGAAGGTTCTTGGGCAGCCAGCGATAACGATCTCAAGTCCAACTACAGAGCAACAATCGAAGAGCACAGAGTAACTCTAGACTCGCTTTTCGACCCAACCGCGACGATCACCGCGCAAGCTCGTGCACAACTCGTCTGCGCTGCAAGTAAATTGCTATTCGGCTCTGCTGTCGTCGATGCAGAAGACTCTACTTACGACAACTCCCAACAAAAGAACTGGTTCTTGCAACCCCCATGAGCATACCATCGCGTTTGAGCTGACAACAAACAGGTCAAGCACCTGCTGGCTCCCCGCAGCCTGCTTTATTCGTATCATCAACCCGCATCAACTCTGCATCGTTTTGAAAATTTTGACGCATGTCCAAGCTACCTTTGCAGTTCGCAGTGGCGGTCACAACGCTAATGTAGGATATGGTAGTGTAGGGAAAGAAGGTGTTGTTCTAGATCTTAGCGCACTTAATGAGATCATTGTTTTTGAGGAGGAAGGTGTGGTATCAGTAGGGCCAGGTGCCACTTGGGAAGCTGTTTACACAGAGCTTGAGAAGCATAGGTTGACGGTTGCTGGTGGAAGGGTGTCGGATGTTGGTGTTGGTGGACTCATTCTTGGGGGTATGTTTCTTGGAATCACTGTCGCAAAATTCATCCATTGACTCCATTTTGCTAAATTTTGACATAGGTGGTATGTCCCACTTTACCACTCGCTGGGGGTCTGTTGCAGACAACCTTATAAATGTTGAGGTATGGAAACAGGCGGCTCGCATTTCGAATTGTAAATGTTGCATGTTAACTTGTCGATATTTGCATTAGCTCGTCACTGCGGATTCGAAGATTGTTATCGCCAGTGCTGGAGAGAATGACGATCTCTTTCGAGCTCTCAAAGGAGGTGGGGCAAATTTCGGTAAGATTGATTTACAAAGGAAGAAACAGAGCTTGTGATTTGTTCACTGATTCTATGACCGTATAGGCATCGTGACTACATTTAATATCTACACGAACCCAGATTATCAGGTATGGTACACGTTCAAAGTGTACAATGGGAACGACGCCGCAAAAATCCTGGATGCCACAGTCCGTGTACAAGAGGCAATGTAGACTCCCACTTTCACATATCTCCAGTGATACCGATGTGCCGCTTCAATTTCCTCGAATAAGGGATTTGATGTGCGCTGTTTTGATTTCTAGCCATTTGCTAATGCCAGTATTTGATAATTCTAGGGAGGAAGATGACCGGATTGGATTCTTTTTAACCGACAATGGCGGCATGTTTATCGCTGGAATGGTTTACCTTGGATGGAGTGACAGTCAACCAGCAGCTTTTGATGCTTTCAACGACATAATGCCAGTAGCTGTTGCCGTTCCTCCAACGAACGGAACGATGCTTTCCGTAGCTAAGGCGGCGAACGTGCCTGGGTCAGCCAAGTAAGTCGAACCTGTAACAGTTCCGAGTCTTTAGCAGTGTTGATATATGGCAACTATTAGGCACGCGGTCGGTGGTATTTCCATATGTACCGATTCATCACTTTATCAGCAAATCAATGATGTGTACCAAGACATCTTGAAAGACCAAAAGGTGTCTGCCGATTTCTCCCTGGCTTTCACCTTTCAACCAGTAGCTGCCAGAGCATCAAAGGCGTCCATTAAGATGGGAGGAAATCCAATGCATATCTCGCCTGTCAGCCAAGCTTGTAAGTACTTATGCGTAATGATAAAAACAGGTGTCGCGTTAACTTGATACGATAGGGTTAGCATTCAGTGTCCAGTGGACAGAAGATAGCGAAGATAAGTTTGCAATCGAGCAAATTCAGAAGCTTATATCTTCTGCTCGGGATGTGTCAAGGGCCGCCGGCAAACTGCTAGACTTTGAGTTCATGAATGATGCTGGATTTTCGCAATCTCCTCTAAAGAGTTACGGGGCTCGTAGCTTAGCAGAATTGAACGCCGTTCGGCTAACGTGGGACCCGAAGGAAGTGTTCCAAAAGCTGCAGAACTCAGGATTTCTTCTTTCCAAAATCTAGCAGATGGGGTGTTGAAAAGTACCATCGAATGGATGCCGCAATTATGTGGTGATTTCAATAGCTACTGATATAGCTGACAGCGTTGGTTGTTAAGGAAACGGCATCTTTATTGATGTATATCCTCTTTTATTGCTACTTAAGAAACACTTCTCTCATAAGTCTCCGAACAGTTTATTGCACCTTGAATTTGATTTCTGTGAAAGACTAGCATCCATGAAGGGGGAAACTTGTCCAGTCCTGACGCCAATCCATACTACCCTTCTTTTGGGGCCATATACGGCGAAAGATATGCACAGCCGAATTAGGCGGAAGCAGTGCCCCCGTTCTGTCTCCTTTGTAATGTATGCCATATAACTCTGATTCCATTGCATCGCGAGCCTCTCTAGCTTCTCGGCCAAGCTCTTTCACGTTGATAGTGTCCATGTCATCTCTGACACTTTTCTCAATCAGCCAAAAACGACTCAAATTACTGATTACAATATCTTCGTCGTTGGGGATGCCCTCATCGCAGTCAAAGACCCCACCACCTGAGGTATAGAGTTTGAGAGACTTTAACTGCTTCCCTGCCTTGTGCTGGCAGATGGTCTTCCAGATTGACTGTGCTAATGTCTCGTCTACAGCGCAGTTCCTAAAGGTTTCTCGGAGATGACCTTTCCTTAGGACTCGATCAGTCCTGTATGCGTTTGCGTGGATAAACTCGCGGTCAAAATCGTCCCAATCATCCCCTAAAATAGAAGTCTGCCAATTAGAACAATCCAAGGTAAGAAATAAGCTCTGAAGATAGCCAAACCGTGCAAAACATCTATACATATCGGCTTCTTGCGCGTCGGATCTCGTGCGCTTGACTGTGAGACCGAGTTCTTGCAAGCCGGGACATTGAACTTGGATTTGGAGTATATGCATCTTCTCAAACGTCATAGGTATACGTGGTATGTATAGCAGATTCGCGGCGCGTGGGGATTCAAAAGGATTTAAACTGAGCTTTCTTAATGTGGGCCCGTGTCGCCAAAGAATAGCATCTAGAATTTCGGGCTCCAGTGGACCGTCCACCGCGAGCTCATAGAGCGATTCGAGATTAGTGAATAGGTCAATGGCATCACTGACATAGTTTGGTTGCAGAATAGTTCTCTCGCCGCGGTCCAAACGAATACGCAGCGTCTCTAGTTTGGGTAGGGACATGTTCTGGACCATCCACGCCATTGCTTCGCCGTTTATGCCGTTACGATAGTCGTAGAAGCCGCCACCCAAGACCAGATGTTTCAGGGAGCTTAATACTGTCGTTTGTCTCCAAGTCTGAAGGAGCTCTGGCGTGAAGTTTGACGTCCCTGTAAGTGACAAAGAGGTCAACTGACCCTTTTGACGGCCGGGGATAAACCCAGGAAGACCTCTCCATGGCTCGCGAGGAATATCTCGTCTGCGGTAACAGGAGTATCGTGGGAAAAGCTCAATCATGTGAAGCTCTTTTAAGTTGGGAGCAAGACTAGCGACAAGCTCTGGCATCGCATTCTCGTGGTAATCATCCTCCCCGTTCGAGTCACGCCAGGCATGTATACACTTGATCGTGTGCAAACTCAGTGAAGTAGCAATAGCCATCTCGTGTTGATCCAGAGTATCACTTCGCAGGCTTCTAAGCCTAAATGTAAGGTGGTATAGTTTGCATTGCGGTTGATGTTCATGGAGTGCAACAAGCAGGCTGGGTGGGAACTGGTTTCGACAGTCGTATATCAACTTCGTCAAGTGTGGAAGGGTCTTGACAAGGTGGACAACCGGTGCCCATGCCCCATCCTCTTCTGGAGACACCTCGACAACATCGTCTGGGAAGAACTCTCCACCTAACCAAGGCTGTTCATCACCTAGAACTTCAGAGATGCCAGTCCTCCAGAAATACTCATTCGCATCTGAAAGTTCCGATCCCGTTGTGTCCTCAAGCTCATCAAACTCTCCGTCGATGTTTACAATCAAAGACCCTTTAAGTCCTAGATGACGGACATGGCTTGCGGAGCATCTGTCGGCCAAAACTTTGATCAACGTGTCAACATTTTGCTGCAATGCATCGCAGCTGTTGACTGAAAGATGGACCTCCCGGAAAATCAACTGATTACAAGCTTGATGGCAAAGTTTGCTTGCCAATCCAAAGGAATAAAGGCTCGTTCGGTGTGTCTCATGAAGATAAGCCGCAACATGGTGCAGAATGTCGATTGGCAATTTGTAAAGCGCGCAGGGATCCATTGCAGGACTCTATTCAGGTGGCGAAACAGAGGCGGCAAGGAAGTGAGAGAGAGGTAATCTTATACGACGAGGTAGGTCATATACATTTGATAAACTTAGAAAGATGTATCTGTCAGAAAGCGGTGACCTCAATCCTGCAAGCCTCTTCTGGCCACAGCACAGCACCACAGCACCACAGCACTGGGTGGTGGCACACTCAATACACGTCCGCGCAGGAGATGCGCAAATAGAATAAAGGAGGTGCAGTTTCAAAAAATCGATGGATTGAGCTGTCGCACATTCATAATCCTAAGAGCAGGTCTGTCGTATATATCTTGGTTTGTTCAGGTGCGATTCCGCGCATAGCGGTAAGCTTGAACGAGGTGGTTCCAATGGAATTACAGGATTTAGAGGCTTCTACTGTAGCCAATCAACTGGCGCCAAGACTCAGCTGTGCGACCCGCACATAAAGGGGATACTCGCTAAGCCTTTTGTCCCCAGTGTGAGCAGAATCGCTGTTGGAATTGATGGGATGTAAATAATACGGACGAGGCTGAAAAAGCTGGAACTTGGAAGTGGTGGTAAGTTTAGGGCCAGGTGGAATGATGGCTTGACACCCTGGGCTGGAACCTGACTTGGTTACATTCTGCCTACTCCTGGGGACTATCCTTCCAGATTTAATAATACTCTAGCCACAATTACCCTAGAGTACAAAGGAGAACCATTTCAAAGTCGTATAAGAGGCCGGTTCCCGCTTTTTACGTAGTGATTTCTATTTTGATCACTACAAAATGCTCGACCATGTAACGGGATTTTTATATCCACACTGGGTTGGTGATCTTATTCTTCCAGATCACTTGGAGTCTCATCACAACCTCGCTCGTAGGCTCGAGGATTAGTTAATTCAGCCTCTCGTGAGCATGATGCTAATATTCTTGCTATCTTATGACCAAAGGGTCTCCTGGATCTGGAGCGGTGGCAGAGGAAAACCAGCCGCGTGGCTATTTCAAAAGTCATTTCTGTTGTATTATTCCTATTGAGAGCTCCTACACTCCTCCAGCATCTGTAATACTATTTAAATATGGTTTTCGATATGTCAAAGTAGTCTGGTAGAATGATAAATAGGTTAAAGTTCCTCAGGGCCAACTGCTTTTCATTATCATCAACACCATCTTCAATATCAACATCAACAGATTCAACAATAACAACAAATTGAACAGCAACGACACCATTTTCAGTTTCATCATCAATAGATTCAACAGCAGTAACATCTATCCCTCACCATAATTACACTTTCATATTTCAAGCAATACCACTTTCACTCACCATGCGCTTCACTAGTGTTGTAGCAGCATTGATTGCTGTCACCAGTATCACCAGTGCATTCCACATACACTCTACCGAAACCGAGTCCCTCGAACGCAGAGCTCCGGTCAAGAAGCCATTGACTCCAGTTATTAAGCCCGTCACTCCCGTAAAGAAGAAAGTCATCCTGGAGAAGAAGCCAGCGAAAAATGCAGGCAAACCAAAAAAGAACATCCCTGAGGCAATAATCAAGCCCTACAAGAGACATTGTTCCCACATGAAACATAAGAAGATTGCTGCTAGAGTCGATGATACATTGGTCGAGTATGATGAAATCACATACACATTCACCGTCCTCGGAGGTGGCTTCCTCACCAAGACTTGGGTCGAAGATGGTCACATTCTCCGTGTTGATAACCTCAGCGGTTGCAACGGCGTCTACTTTTTCGATGGCACAGGCAAGGCATCTGTCACCCATATTGTCGCCGGCACAGAGAGAGTCGAAGCAAGAGATGCGGCAACAAAAGCGGCAGCAGAAGGCACCATCACCGAGGTCAAGGTTTACGCCCATGCTAGTTCCAATTTCAACGCTATTAAGGAGCAGGTAAATCTCGTGCTGGGAGTCGGGGTTCCCGTCACACACATACGATACACTCACAACCAACAAGACAGAACTGAAAGAAACGGAGTTACCTATGCAGCTGGCGATCTGACTAATACACTCACACCACTACCTGCATATCACTGTTCAAGTTAAAGATCTCTGCTTCACAACTTGCAGGAGAATGATCTGCAAAACATCTGAGCCATCTAGGAGGAACACAGCTTGTATTCGGTGCTAGATTACCAAGAATGTAGCCAATTCAAGAGGAGGAGTGTCAGGAAGGAGATCAGGGAACATTACGGAGTTTAGGAGTTAAGGAGTACATGATTTTAGTTTGTTAGCCTTTTTGATATTTATAGACTTGCTTCTAGAAAGGAACAGAATAACAGTATGAGTTTGTTTTACAAATATTCAATTTAAATCACACTCAAAGATATTTATCTATTACAGTAATGACTCGTCTCTTGAATCTTACAATCAAGTTGTAGAGCAGCATTTTAGTAAGTCTAAGGATTTTGGATTGTTAGCATAGCATCTATTTTCACCTATATGTTCTAGTAAGAGACCCATTTGATAACACAGAGAAGAGCTCCGACATAACAAATGTTCTGAAATTGTTTGAAAACTACTTCTTGCTTTAAGCCATTTTCTGGGACCACAGCTTGTTGGTCTCGCTTATTTCAGGGGTAGGTTGCGGCGTTACTGTCCAAACAAGTGGGGATGTTGTAGAGAACCAGGTTTTTTGAAGATGTAGTGCCATATGAGATCAAGAGCAATTTAAAATCTCCTCAGAAGCCTCCTATCTAGGTTGCGCCGCCCTTTTCGTATTCATCAGTGTTCTATCTCACGGTCGAGTCGAACCCCGGACTGGTACAATGGAATGTATTTCAAGCCAACGAAATAGAAGCCGAGGAACACCCTTGACGTAGCACCTGGCCCGCGTAAGACCAGATTAAGTTACTTTGGCTTGTTTCATTATATTGTAAGTGAGGTGTTTGCTCCATGAGAGTGAGGAAATTATAACAATAATTATATAGACAGTGTGAGTGGAAGAGTTATTTTTTCGGTAAAACTCGATTTTACGCTACTTTAGGTGGCTGTACCGTGCCCAAAATGACCAAAATTATAAAAGCTAAATGATAGAAAGTTTTATTAATATAGGAATACTTTTGAGTTTTAGGGACCTTATTAATCGATATTAGGATAAGTATATATTTCTAAGTGTTCGTGGTGACTTTTGGTGGGAAAACGCCGTTGGACAGGGCATCAGCACCCCGGCTCCGGCTTCGGATAAGGAGCTCCTTATCGCAAATTTCCTTCTCCCCCACCACAACATCACGACGTCGTCACTTCTGTACGTTCTTCTAAACACCTCCATATCCTCTTTATACATCGAATAATGTCACCAATTCCGATAACAATCATAACCGGCTTCCTCGGCTCAGGAAAAACCACACTCCTCCTAAACCTCATCCCGCAACTCCTCTCCCAAAACCCCTCCTACAAACTCGCGCTCGTGAAGAACGAATTCGGCGATGTAGCAATAGACTCGCAACTCGCGTCCTCCTCCTCGATATCCGGCGTACGCGAACTTCTAAATGGCTGTATATGCTGCAATCTCGTCGGGCAATTAGACACGGCGCTTGAAGAACTGCGGAAGACAGTGAAGCCTGATCGCATAGTGATTGAGACGAGCGGGAGTGCGTTTCCGGCGACTTTGGCTATGGAAGTGAACAGGTTGGCGCGAGATACGAAGGCATATGCGTTAGATGGCGTGGTTACGGTGATTGATGTGGAGAATTGGAAGGGTTATGAAGATACGAGTTACACGGCGAAGATCCAGGCGAAGTATACGGATTTGATTGTGTTGAATAAGTGGGAGATTGCGGGGGAGAGGAGACTGGATGAGTGTCTTGATCGGGTGGGCGATTTGGAGGTGCAGGTTGCGACGGTAAAGAGTGATAAGGGGAAGGTGCCGGTGGATTTGGTTTTCGGCGTGGATGGTGCTTCGGCGAGGTTATTGGGGGTTGAGGGTGCGGAGAAACATCATCATGATCATGCGAATGGACATGAACATGCGAAAAGTCATCAGAGTGAGGTGGAGGTTCTGTCGATAACACTTATGGCTTCCTCACCGAGTTCAAAAATCAACAATGCAAAGCTCACGAAACTTCTTGAAAGCGCACCGAAAGATGAAGTGTATCGTATTAAATCAGTATTCGCATCTGCTTCACCAATACCAGCACCAGATTCCGAGTCAGAAATTGCGGAAAGTGAGAGATATATATTGAATTGGGCGTTTGGAAGATGGACGTGCACGCCACTGAAAGGGGAAGAGAATGTCTCGAGTGGAGGAGAGGGGGTAATTTTACGAATGACTATGATACTGGCACGGTTCGAAAGTAAGAAGTGGAAGAAGAAGATTGAAACTTTAGGGTTTATCGAGCTAGACGGTGATGAAAATGGCTCATTGGTCGTTGAAAATATTAATTGAAGCTCGAATTGAATGTAGGAGCGTAGAGTTATTGTGGGTATGACAGGAGTTCAAACTATATGGTAGATGCATTGGGAAGGCGTTTTAGCGAAGGGCATGTTGCGATTGAGACTGCACGTTATCAAATTACCTCATTGTTTAAAATTCTAACTATACTTCGAGAATTTTACCACACACCAAACGAAAACCGTGGGAGAAGCAACTTGTATAAGTCTGAATACTTTCATCAAAACACCATCCCCAAGTCATCATGCCACGAGAATCTTGGTGTGCCACATCGGTCCAGGGATGCTATCTAGGTAGGGTGATATGTGAAATCAACTGACCTATGCTAATACAAGGGCGGATTTTGTCTCAATTAGTCCTAAGAGTTCTATATAAGAAGACAGGGCATAAGAAAAAGTAAGTTTATCATTTATCTGAAATATACCAACGAGATATGCTAACTGTAAATCTATCGTTTTCTATCTAATCTTCTATATATAGTGGGATGGGAGCGATCCTCTGGGGATACTAACAAAATTATCTTCTAGTTGTATAAAAAAAGATGTTAGTAGTGGGGGGCTCACGAAACTACTGTCTGCTTGAAACCCCCAAAATAGTGTGAGTACCAGAAGTTGCACGTCATCAGCTGCGTCAGGAAGCAAACCACACATCATCTAAGAAGTTTGCAAATTCTTCGTCTCCCTACTGTCGCTGCTCCCCTCGCTACAATATTATTACAGCGCCCAGCGAATGCCCCTGTTCATCTTACTAACCCTATCACCATCAGCGCCTCTTCCTCTCACGATCAATCCGCGAAGTCGCCTTCGCGATCCCCCTTCTAAGCGGCATACCTTTTTCCTCCTTCACCACATTATCCAGATGTGCCCTGCCCCTCTCATGTTCGACACGCGACCACTGGAAATACCAGTACCTCTTACAACGATGCGGAACACTGCATGTGACTTTACGCACCCAATTTTTGGAATCAAGACCGTGGATCTGTCGGAAGTGCAATAACATGCCTTGCTCGCCGAGTGCTTCGAAGGGAGAGCCGTACTGCGAATTGCACCCTTCGAGGGGGCATCGTAGGACTCCCGTGTTCGGCCATTGGATTTCTTCCCAGGCGTCTTTGTAGCTGTAGTCGGGGGGTGCGCTGTAGTCGGGGACTGGGGCTGGGTGTAAAGAGCTGCTTGGCTGCGTTGTGGTCGTGTCGGCAGCTTGACTTGGAGTATAACTAGTTTCCTGACCTGCGTTACTGCCACACCCAGCTTGTGAAAAGCCTGGAACTGAACTACCTGTTTGAATACTAGCAGTAGCCCAGCTTCCCTGACCCTGAGAAGCAGTCATATCATCATCCGGTCCACGGCCACCAAAATTACCAGACGTCGCAGATTGCGGGCCCAGAGCGCTCGATTGACCGTAATCCATATTCGTATCTTGCTGTGGGTAATAGCCAGACGAAGAAGAAGCCTGGGCTGGAGTACGTGATTGGCTATAACCCGAAGACATCCCAGCAGGGAGATTATAAGTGCTGAAAGCAACATTTCGTAGTGGTGGTGCTGCAGCTGTTGCTTGGTAAGTTGTATGAGATGTCTGTCCTAAAGTACTGGGGTGACTGGTATTGCTACCACTACCAGAAGCATAAGGTGTGTAAGATGCCTGACCGGAAGCACTGGATTGACTAGCAGTCCCGCCTCCGCTATACGTAGAAGCAGTTGTTTGTGCGGGATAAGATTGACTACTTGGCTGTTCTAGATAGTAATCCGGATCATCTTCACCCTCCGCGTCCTCGTCATGAAGTTCATATGTCCTTGTTTGTTGCATAGAGGAGACAGTCGAATATTGCGTTGGATTGGAAGTACTCGTCTGATATGGAATCGACTTCCATTGTCCTGTAGCAGTATCGTAGTCAGGATCAGAGTCTCCAGGTGCATCTTCATCTGTCAACTCCACGGAGGTTTGAGTAACATGTGGTGGATAAGTGCTGGAGGACTCTTGAGTACCGTACGATGCTTGGTCTCTGGAAGATTCATGACTCTCGCACGCTCTGGATGACGATGATTGACCATGATGCCCATGACTTCGATGGCCACCGCTTGTTCTGCTGCTGCGATGTTCTCTATGGCTTTTCCTGTGTTTACCGTGTCCAGACATGGTAGATTGTTGGTTGAAGTGGGTACGCTGATTGAGTAATTTTGATGGTTTAAAGGCGCTCCAAATTGTGCTGTTGATATGATCTGAAAGACAATATACTGCTTGAGAAAACTCATGGTTTTATAATACTTGATGCACTTTGTACAAACATACAACTACACATTCCTCCCCGAATCAGCCGTTGGGGCCTCGACCCGGCAATTGAAATTCTAAAGCCCCAACACTGATTTGATGAGAGCATGATCATATGAATTCGGAAGTATATCATTAACAAAGAGTTTATCAACCTTGAAGTTAAGGGCCAACTGAAGAAACATGTGGATTTTTGAACTTCAGGTAAAGGAGACTCCGAGTGACAAAGAGAACTTGATTTTCCCAAATTCTTATGACAACATGAAACAAAAGAAAGAGTGACAGTTGGTCCAACATATTTACGATAGACGGGATGAAAGGTCAAAGTAAAAAAAAAACCGAGTGTAACAAAAGCAAAACAATCGAAGTTGTAATCCAAGTTCCAGACCTGTTTAACCAATGATCACATGTTCAAAAGCTCTGAGATAGATTTGTGAATGCCTGGCATGAATGAGAAATATTGGTCCCAACAATTTGAACTATTCGAAATCCAACTACCGCTTTATAGACAAAACACATGGTCACAAAATTAGAAGTTTATGTCACATTCCTAATTACTTTCAATTATAACAGTAAATGTGAGTTTGGCGGAAAGGGTACTATTGAGCAGTGACATCCAAAATGAGCTCGAGAAACTCGAGATTTCGAGATGCCAAGTTTAGTCCGGATAGCGTGGTTCGTAACAGTATATCAAATGGGTCAAGTCGTGAAATCATTTGACACACTCGTTCAGGAGCTTGGGTTTTCAATTGAAATTGACAAGTGCAAGAATTAGACGGAAAGTATCGAGAAAGACAGTCGCAAGTCCGATCAACAAAGGGATGTTGGACGCTTGTCAACACATTCGACTTTTTGACTAGTATGATAAAAGCGTAATCAGCCTACTCAAACTGTTTTAAGCTGTACTAATATTACAGTGACAAACACTTTTGTTGGGACCGTTCGCAAACTCTGTGTCGTACCCTAGGAAAAGTAACAGATCACCGGTAGAACTAACTAGTATAAATCAAACAACAGTAATGTAACAATATAGTCTCTTAGCTTACCTACAAATTACATCTGTGGCACTACTCAGGGATCCCACGTGATCTGAGTATCGTAGAGTAAGGTACCAGTAGCGATGAATCCAAACAAGAAATCCATAAGTAAAGGCCACTACTCTAATTCACTTTACTCATTTAACACGCTATTTGAAATATAACTTCGACCACTCTGTTCATCCGTTCAGAAACGAGATCGGCTTAACAAAACACCGAGAACCGACTCCGGTGAAAGCCTGACGACTTTGAAGAGCGCTCTTTCGCTGGCACACGATGTGATATTGATGAAGTGATTTAACCAAAGGATATTGTTATTGTAGGAATATGAGAGGTAATTTGAATGGCATAATAGCGTTAATAGTCTTAGGACTAGAAGAGTTGGAAGGAAAATAAGTTCCAAGCATTGAAAGATGTGTTGTGCATTTAGATGTTTAGGGTACAGAGGTGCGAATTGTAGGGTCAACGCAATGCAATTACCAGCTCGAGAAACAGACAGCCTTTACAAAGGACAAACCCCTTGTTTGAAAGTGAAATATATTCCGAGTACTTACACAGAAGCGTTTAAAAATCGTATGAATAATTTCATTGACTAACAAGTTAGTGGTAAACAAGCTTTGAAACAGGTGATGTAAACTCTACGTGTTATGCATCACATAAGAAGTTATACGCTTGAAGAAATGGATGCAAAGATCCAAGGGACTTGATCAAGATGCATAAGGTTAAACTCCAGATGTTCGGGTGCTTTGAAAATGATTAAACGGAATCAAGATCTAGGCACTAAAATATATATGCTATGTAAGAGAACAGCTGGAAATATAAAGCATACGTGATCTAACCAGCAAAACTGAGTCGCAGAGACCAAGAGAGTCCACATGTAGTTCAAGTATCAGTGCACAGCTGTATAAAAACATGTGTGCGTTGAATATGACATTTAGTTGCTTTTGTGCATCTTCCTTACGAAGGACATGAGGCGACGATGGGCAGGAAAGATGTCTAGTGATCTCGAAGCAAGTAGAGAGCCAACTAAGTTCAAGGAACTTCTGCTTGAAGAGGTTTTGGAACGTCTATATATCAACAAATGCAGTTCGTAGAAAGATGGTGGAATGTGTACTGAATATGGGAAATAGGAAATATACCATGCAACGAAGCAAGAAGCAGCAAGTAACTAACTTGAGGAGGCTGGCTTGATGGAAATATGAGAAAGGGAATGTCTCGTCTCGATGAGAAATCGCAGAGTCTGTCTTCTTGAAATTAGCGCTTTGCGGAATGGACCTTCCTGAGGTTCCAGTAGTTCAAACGGTCTATGATTGACTTTCATCAGCCCAGGCGAGCCAGGTAACTTGCCCAAGAACACAGCAAACCTGCAACAAACAAGACACTTATCTCAAGTACCCCATACCTCACCTAAACACCATCGCCAAAAAGCCGATCAACAAAATCATCTCCAAACTGGAAACATCAACAATCCAACTAAAGTTAATGACCCAATCTCACCCACCCCACCATCCCAGTCGTCCTACACAATACCACGTACCGTAATACTCTCCCCCCCCGGAATAGAGGTTATTC